AAGATGGATGGATGGCATCCTTGAAGTGACTGGCTTGACTTTGAAGGAGCTGGGGGAGGTGACGGCTGACAGGGAGCTCTGTCGTGGGCTGGTCCATGAGGTCACGAAAAGTCAGAAACGACTGAACAAATGAACATAGCTGCATAATGTGGAATCGCCAAAAACAATCTGTTTAATTTAAGTTCTCATGGTGGGAAAACTAACTGTGGTCCCAATAGTGACTTTTTCCAAAAAGCAGGTATGCAGGAAATTACATCCTACAACTACTGGAGGCAAATCCTCTTCCCCATAGATCAATGCTCTCCAAACCAACTGCTTTTATCAGACAAGTCCTGGCGACTTGCACATGCCCTGGCAAGCGATCAGGCTCTTGCCATACTCTTAGTTCCTTGGACATGGGCCAGTGACTCTAATGAACGAGTGTATCATTCCCTTTTCTATGTATAAAATGCCACTGGTAACCATGGCCCCCGCTGACGGATGAGAGCTGTGCACAAGAACTGTCTAAAATTAGGCACAGCTTAGAGAATTTGCCAGTTCTGGGAGCTGGAGACAGTAAGGTACCAAGCTCTGTCAACATAACAGCAATTCATTGGCATTTTAAATTCAAAGCACTTATCGTACTAGGAAAGCTAAAGAAATCAACTCTAACCTAATCTAATTTTAATTTGGAAAAAATAGATGCAACAATTAATGTTTTGCCAAGAACCAACATTGTGTAGCAATTTTAGCACTGGACTATGACTCTGCAGGCCAAGATTTGAATCTCCATTCAGCCGTAAAGCCACTGGTTGACTTTGGGCAAGTCACAGTCTCTCAGCCTAAGGGAAGCACAATAGCAAACTTCTAAACATATCCTGCCAAGAAAACCCTATAATAGGTTAACCTAAGGGTCATCTAGGTCAGGGCTGCAGGCTGGGCCTCCGGGCAAAGTGGCACACTGGGCTCTGCCTACACCCACTCACAGTAATACAAATGTAAATGATCGATAAAATAAACTTTTATTTATTGGTACCACATAATAAGTCTACAGCTTTTTTCCTCACTTCACTTTCTTAAGTTCCTTAACCCTTTCCCACACACATCGAATTCTTGGAACACAAATAGCTGAGGCTCTGATTCCAATAATGGAGATACACACTCTCAGCAATTGTTGTCCCCAGCCATTATTTGCCTCCTGCGAATCTGTTACAGTATTTTGCTTTCATAACACTGCAAGCAATAGAAACAGTAACATTTCTCTCACAAATGCAGACATGCCAACTTTCTGCTACAAGTCATAATTTTTCTCCTTCTACAAAGTTAGCAGGAGATTTGAGTACTGCATGATCGGAAAATTAGTGTTCAATTCTGGTCTGTGCATAGATTAGAATGGGCCCCCTATGCTCCTGGGGTCTCTGGGCAATTGTCCAGCATGCCCATGTGTTACAACAGCACTGTCCTAAGTTGGAAATGGTTTGAATGCATACAACAACAACAACAACACAAAAGGCAGAATGGTATAGTGTGTAGAGTGTTACACCAGGACTCTGCCAGGCCATAGTTTGAATCCCTGCTCAGCTTTGAAACCCACTGAGTGAGCTTGACCAAGTCAAACTCTCAGTATGAGAGAAAGACAATAGCAAACCTGCTCTGAATAAACTTTTCCAAGAGATGATAGTATCATCAAAGGTCAAAGTTGACTAGAAGGCATGTAACAACTCATGTATAAGTCAACCTCATATATAAGTAAAGGGAAGATTTTAGGCCAAAATTATAGTTTTGATATGACCCATGGATAGGTCAAGGGTCATTCAACAGAGAGGGGAGAGCACCAATGCTGCTGAAGGGCCAGCCACCCCTGGCTGCTGATGTCATTTCCATACCCAGGTATTAAAAAAGGCCAGAATTGGCTCCAAGGCAGAAAGGAGAAGGAGGCCGTGCTTCTTTTAGGTTCTCCCAGCATGGACTAAGAAATTCAATTTTACACTTATATGTGTGTGTGTGTGTGTGTGTGTGTGTGTAGTTAATTTACAGTACTTACATCAACCCATGGATAAGCAGACCCAGATTTTTTGAATATTTTTTACTAAAATTTCAAGATTTATAGAAGAGTATATAGGGCAGTTTTACTATATGTACGTAGTTAAATTACAATGTAATATATCAATATTTAATTTTTATCCCAATAAGGGAACTGAAGATGGGTAGCAACATATTCAAAATCAATAAAGATTAAGCTGAAAGTTGAATTGAGTTAAAATGTTAGGAGAGAGTGATACATTATAGCTGCCACTATTCCTTTTCCACTTGCCCATTTTCGTGTGCTCATCAGGCCTCCCAGTCCTGAGTGAAATTGAGCTGGTTGATGGTAGAGCCAATACTGAAAGCAAAAGTCTGCCTGAAAACCGTGTTGCAATTGCAAAGGTACAGGCAGCTCAATAGAATGCTCAATGGTTGATTGTTCTTGCATTGGTGATAACTCAGTGGATGAAAGGTATCCTTTACTAATGTTCATAGCTTTACTTCAGGAGTTCAGGTGATTATTCAATGCGTAAGAAGAAGCAGTTAACAATGAGGATTTGGACGCTGGACAATGCCCTGTGCCAAATACATACAGAAGAGCCTTGAAAAAATCAGAAGGGTCTTGGACTCCAAGTTCCAGAATCCCCCATATAGCACAGACAATATCTATGCTGCTTAGGAGATTCTGGGAACTGTACTGAAAAACATATTTCTGCAAGCTCTGCAGTGCAGGAAGGAGGAGAATCAAGAACCATTCCTGCTCTCTTTCCCACTCCAATGCATGTGCTCAGATGTATCTTCCCACGGCTCAGGTTATTATTTATTTTCTGCAGCCTAGTTCATATGATATAGATCCATCCCCTACAGATCGAGAGAACATGAACATTTGATTATTTTAAAATATGACTTTGAATGTATTGGCACACATGACTCCTGCAACAGAATGTGTACTTTAAACCTCAATCAGTAATGCAGGGTATTAAAAAATACACTCTTATCTAAACATTCGATCTTCAATGTGAAACAGAAATAATCTTCCAAGTCAGATACGTACCAACAAACTGACAGTACAGCCAATCTTTTTGCCATCTACTTCTCCCATTTTCATGCAGTCCCTGGAGGCAATGAGAGAGAGAAAGAAAAATCATCAGAACAAACAGAGTGCAAATATTGTGCCAAAGAATTAATTATGCACATCAGATAAAATTATGTTTTCAAGAGAAAATCTGTATTAACAGATTCAAATACACAATTGATGCAAGACCGTGCAGCAGCTGGTAGTCTAATGCAAAATAAGATTGTTGATGGACCAAGGAACAAATTAGAACAAATCAACCTGAAACTGAATGTTTATATAACTGCAATTATTGCACATTCTTCCCATGTCAATTCCTGCCTCCAATTCCCTCTCCTTCTCTGTCCCTTTTGTGTTTTATTCTGTAGAATGTGATCCCCCTGAACCAAGGAGTTATATTCCCTGTTCCATATAAAAATGCCACATATTCTCTTTTATATGGAACATAATTATCTCCATCCGTGAACACTCAGCATCATCACTGACATTTCATCACAAAGTCTACACTGAACTGGGGTGCCCCTGGGTCAACTGTGTTTTTTGAATAGATCCATCACAGACTGGCCAGTGTGTAGAAATACAGACTAGGATCCAAACAACAGTGTGATGAGGTCTGAACATCTGTTTTCTGCAAGTGTTCATTTCACTGGAAAGACTATGTTTTTGTAAAGCTGGTGAAAATGATAGAATCATAGAATCATAGAGCTGGAAGAGACCTCATGGGCCATCCAGTCCAACCCCCTACCAAGAAGCAGGAATATTGCATTCATGCAATGATGATGACTTGTTACCTGCCTCTCCTTATGGCTCAAGGCAGGCTCAATACATACACAGATACATACCATAAAAACATACATTACAACACACCATCACAAAATAAATATTTTAAAATGTATACTTCAAGGATTAAAATGCAATATAAACAGAATGAAAATTTAAAATTCACAGTTTAAAATTAACTGGGTAACCCTGCCAGAAAAGATAGGTCTTCAATTGTGTTTTGAATTCTAGCATCTCATTCAGCTATTGAATCTCTTCTGGCAGGTCATTGCACCATCAAGGGGCATCCTCTGGATGACAATTACCAGTTGGATTCTGGCCAATTGAAGTAAACATCCCCAAAAGGACCTAAGTGTACAGGCAGATCATATGGGAGAAGGTAATCCTGTAGGTAACCTCAACCCAAACCATGACGGAATAGAGGGGACAGCTGCTCAAAGGGGGATGGGAGAATGTTGCTGTTTCTAATTCTATCAGGCAGGCTAAGTTCTCTGCTGTGCCTAAATTAGCTTTCTGGATCCAAAATCAAAGTCTGAGTAAAATATGTGCATTATGAAATCAAAAGCACATATGCAGTAATCTTGAGCATTTAAGGATTCTCAGCAAGATTGCTTATAATCATTAAAATGATTGGAATCCAAGATGTATGTTTCCACTAAAGATGCATGACTGTCCTACATGTGTTCACTCAGATGTACATCCCATCATTGAGTTCAGGGATGCTTACACCAAAGTAAATGTCCATACAAAGACAGCAATCTCTCCCCTCCACTTTCTGTTCTTATCTTAGAAGGAACCACAGAGTGTGATGCTTCAGTGCAAATAGTATTATAGCATGGCTAAGAATCAGAAAGATCACAATTAGGATCTTGCTACTGCCATGACCTGGGGAAGCCATTCACCCATGGCCTCAGTCATGCTTCCTCACAGAAGAATGGGGGATAATAATGCTGATTTATGTTTTGGAAACTTGATGTAAGCCAGAGGTGAGCATCTGAGGCATTCCAATTGTGGCATGGGAACTCCCATCAGTTCCTAGCCTGTACAGCCAATGAAGGGCCACTCCTGAATTACTGGTCCTATCATTAAGCCCTATGTGATGGTTGTTTCTGATGTCAAATATGGAGGGCAGCACTGATAGCAATTTCCTGAAGACTGAACCATCCTGCATCCCTTAAAACAGTTAATCTTACAAGTACAGGTTTTAAGGAGTGCACTTGAAAGCACAATACAAATGTTACATATTTAGCAACATCGTAATTGCCATTGTTATTCCTATTGCCGCCGCCACCTACATGTACAGTTGGCTCTCCATATTCACACATTTTATATCTACAGATTTCACCATTGATATGTTGCCTGACGAGCATCAACACAAATGTTTGGAACAGACATCAGACAAGTAGATTACATGGACAATTTGTACAGTAACAAGCACAGCGGGAGAGATGTTAGTACCTTGGGACTATTCATATTCTTTGGATGTGAATCTCCTGTGGTTTACAATGCAAAAGTTGGATAGTTTCACCTGTCTCCCAGACGTTTTGTCTGAAATGCCTATTGACTTTATTTTTTCAGACCGCAGATTATAGTAATTAGCCAAAAATACAGAATCTAAAACAATTAATCCCTGCTCAACTGCAGCAGTTCAGTCAGATGTTAAAAATGCAGAGGAGTTGCACAAGCCCTGTTTGAGATCAATCAGAAATAAAACAGCAGGGGATGACCTGAACCCAACGTCACTCCTGTCACAGTACAGCAAGTAAAATCAGGGCCAACCCAAGACATTTTCCCATTTGATACTGAGAAGCAAATGACTCCCCAGCCAAAGTTATACATCCAAAGACTGCCAAGTTTATCTCAGCACCTGAAACGTAGAGTCCCACAAATACCTCTCTCTGGCAGTAAAAATGCAATAATCATCAATCAAGCAGCTAACAATGTTCTGTCCATGCACTCACAACACTCAAAACCAATTGCGTGAAGCACAGTCCTAGCTTTAATGGTAGGGCTGACCCTGACTGAGATGTGGATCAGTGTGCTTGTGTATCTGGTAGAAAAGTACAGGTTTTTACTCCCATCCCCAGCAAAAGTCCAAATTAGAGATCCTAAAAAATAAATTCTTCTAAGTTTTGTGACATCACAAAATCTATGGAGAGAAATCTGTCTGAACATAGGAAGCTAATGTGTATTTTTTTTTAAAAAAAAAAAAGGTTAGGGGAGATATCCTGTCATGGATACGCCAGCTTTCAATGGACAGTTTTTGAACCTGGGCAACTATTTAAGCATATGATTTGCTCTATCTGCACCCTACTTATAAAAAGGTATGCCATGCATTTTTTTTCTTAGCATGTAATTTGGCCGTGAGTTTAGCTGTATCTTTATATTTCCTACCATTGGTAATAAATATTTAAAGACAGTTTTCTAGTCATATTGCAACTCCCGAAACTTTCTATCTGCCCTATGTAAGCGTTCATAGCCTTGTTAATAACCATTCCATCTAGCATTCAACTTGCAAACAGTTGAGCATTCCTTGCTATAAAACATGCAACAACTGCTCACCTGTAGTCCAGCAGCCTCTCCATGAGACGGGTTACAGTGGCAATTAATGAAACTCCACTTTCTCTCCATGTTTCACGTTCAATTTTCTTCAGCAGGCTGGAAGGAATGAACCCAGGGCAGAATATCAGGATTTATTTTTACCAGTCTCCATAACAACCAATTTGTACTCAAAGATACCCAAAAATGCCTTAGCAATATCTGCTTATTCAGAGATTTAAATATATACATATATTTCCCCTTTCATACGAAGCCCAGTTGCAAATATTGTCTTACCTGGGATAAGGACCAAAGAGTGGAATTCTACTCCAGGAAGCATTGACAAGGCAAATTGATTTTTTTTAGGTTAGCCAACTCCAAGACAACACACAGAGAGATAACAGCCTATTTTCCATAAATAGATACAGATACATATATATACATATATCAAGAGAGAGAGAAGACATTTCACAGCCCTTACAAACAGAAGATTTGGGCTTTTATTACATCCTTGCCCTATTATGCTATTTATTAGAGCTGCATTTCAGGATTAAGAAAAGAAACGGAAGGTTTTGTTACCTAGAGGAGAGCATTTCCCATCTCACTGTTCCCTTTCGTTGAGATTTCAAATCTTCTCAATGTAGGATTTTTCCCCCGTACTTTAGTCGACAGTAGTTCTGCACCCACACAATTTACTGCATTGTAAGTGCCACAGGAAAAGCCTTTTCCTGGGATTTTTTTAAAAGAAAATACTTCCCTTTCACTTGGTGTTATTTATGCATTTCAATCTCATTCATTTAACCATTAAATAATTGATGGGTTCTCTGTAGCAAGTATTAGTCCAGTTCTCCAAGTCAATTAGAATTATGGAAAATTATTATCAGATGTGGTACAGAAGTACAGAAATACAACCCCTGACAATACTTGTGACGGATACTAACTAGCATTTACTCCTTTAAAATCCTGAGGGTATCACAAGGCATCCTTTGCTTCAGGAGTCCTCTCCCCACCCCTGAGCAAGCTAGATTGCTATATGGCAATGAGGGAAAAGGCTCTTTGCATAGGCTAGAAGAGACTGTTTCCTTCCTTATTCCTTCCCATATTCTATGGATGAACCCGAGGTTGCCACAGAAACAGATTCTTTAAGTACTAAACATGCTCAAGAGCCCAACACAACTCGTTCATTTGCAGAAGGTTGATGGGAGATGTCTGGGGTTTTCTCTCAGAGCAAGGTGTGGGGGACACAGTCCAAACTCCCAAGCAGAGTTGGGCAACTGCCAAAGGTTAAAGGACTCACATTGCTCCTCCCTATGGGAGGGAGATGTTGGCTGCTTTAGGCTAAAGAAAGACTCTTTTAAAAAGTGGAAGAAAACATGCAGTTTAGCTGGAAGATATATTTTTAGAAAGAAAAGAGATGGACAATTTTTAGGCTGCTGGAGGGATGTAGGTGGGCTGTAAACTGCATTTTGCTCATGCCTGCTACTGGAGGCTTCCAATACCAATCCAAGTTTTAGGTTGGTATGGGAGGTGTCTGTGTGGGAGCACAAAAATATCCCAGGGGCAGCAGAACGAGAACAATATGATTTGCACTTATGCATAATGCCTTTGTTTGTAGCCATTCACAAAGTTCAACATCCAGTAGATTCGTAATGAGAGAGAAATGATGGCAGAAATAGGTAAAATACATTCCCTTTGTTTGGCTGGTCTCTTTGCTGAGCACAACAGAGCAAAATTCAACATGACAAGGCGAAGTGCTTAATCATTATGAAAAGCAAAGGAACAGGATACAACAAAGTTGTAGTAGTAAAGTGCCACTTTTGTAGCTCAAGTCAAAACAGCAACAGCCCAAGAGAAAGGCCTAATAGTATAAGAATGGCAGGGAAACCATGTATATGGAGTCCACAAACTCATTGAAAATCAGTTTTACATACCAACTAATGCAATGATTCTCAACCTGTGGGTCTCCAGATGTTTTAGCCTTCAACTCCCAGGAATCCTAACAGCTGCTAAACTGGCTGGGATTTCTGGGAGTTGTAGGCCAAAACACCTGGGGACCCACAAGTTGAGAACCACTGAACTAATGTGTGTTACCTTCCAGCATGCATTGTGAAATGCTAATTTCTGGCACTTCCAAAACTGAATCCTGACTGTAGTGACTGTATAAGATTAAAAACAAATAAACATACATCAACTTTTCTGCAGAAACCAAAAATTGGCACAACATTCACTTTTTGAGACCTTTCCTCATTACCAGTCATAGCCACACAGCAGTTAAATAACACTCATCGAATCCAAAACTATCCTGGGCATTCATCCTAGTTTAATCATCTTATAATGTTAGCAACAAATCAGGTAGCAATAATGGCAATGCAATTCTAACTTAGCAGTTGGCAAGAGTCTGGTCCAATGTCTTTATGTGGCCAATTCAAAGTAGTGTGGAAGTAGAGAAGTCCTTTAGTTGCTGAAATATAGAATTATATTTTCCATTCCTGCATCTAAAACAGTAGAAGTCTAATTCTCAAATGAGAGGAAAGATTACCAAATGACAGATGAGAGCAGTTGCATATTGCTTCAGATGATAATGACTTAGGTAGTGTGACAGCTGTTTTATATTATATATACTATTTCTGACTTGCATGTTGCATTATTATTACAGTGTACTCTACCATATTTGAAGGAAAAAAGCTCAACAAAGATATTTAAAAATATATGGAGAAAGAAATGCCAGGCACTCAAACTGGTTCAAAAAAGGAAGAGACACTAGAGATTATATTGCATACATATAATGGCTAATGGAGGGCACCAAAGAATTTCAGAAGAAAATTGGCCCAAATTTCATTGATTATAGAAAAGACTTTGATTGTGTAGCTCATGAAAAGATATGGGAGAAAGTCCTTCAAGCCCATTTGAAATGTGTTGCTGGAGAAGAGTTCCACAGATACCATGATATCCCTAAATAAATAAATGAGTCTTAGAGCACATCAAGACATTGGAGTATAATTACTGAACTACTACTAAATTACTACACTGGCGCTATCATTCTCTGGACATAACTCGTTGAAGAGGTCATAATGCTCACTCCTTTTTCTTACTGAAAACTGCAGGAAAAGAGGTCACTTTGCAGATGAATCAATTCAATAAAATGAAAAAGAAAATATCACAATCTAATTTTGCAAACACCTGAACTGGGCTGTTAATAACATGGATTTCCCAGGTCTCTCAGCCATAGGGTCACCAGTAGTCAAGCCAGCTTGATAACAACAGCACAGCCTACATCTGGAAGCTCATATAAAAATACAGGCAAATATTGTTTCTTGGCACACAGTCCTGTGTGCATGTGACAGGCAGCCATATATTTCTACTTTAGATAGTCTGGATTTTACCTGGGGACTTCCAGCAAATACATCTGCAGTATAAACAGATAAAAACTCCAAGGAACATAAAGGAGTTTCATTTTTTAAGGAAACGAATCCCTTAAAAGGTGCTGAATTCGTTTAGAAATGGTAAAATATCAAGAAATTGTGAACAAGGAAGGTGTACTCTAACCTGAAGTTTTCTCCAATGCTAAATATAAAGATAGGTGGAAGGTGAGAGAGCATCTCAAAATATGGGCTGCTAGAATCTCTCAGAACGGATGTAGATTAGTCAGTTTAAATACAGGGTGTACTTTCAGGTTGAATTTCATCTCAAATATGTATGTATAAGGAATGTTCACAAATTTGTACAAACCCTTTGCTTCCCTGACCTTTGAAAGATAATGTACAAAGCAAACATTTATAACAAAATTCAGTTACCTCAGGCAAGAGCTAGAGAGAAAGGCAGAAAAATAAAGGGCATTTCAACCTCTGCAGGCATTCTCTCTTTACATGCTATGAGACAGAAATACTATTACATGCATATGTAATATTTTATTAAAATCTTTCTCTGATCCTCTTCCAGAAATCATTCTGTTCTCCAAATATCCACACCAGAATGGAACTTGCTTCACCTGAGCCCTCAGCACTCATCCTTGCTTGGCAAAAAAAAAGAGGGGGGGGGTGAGAAACTCAGATAGGACTCAGATCTCAACCAGGATATTCCAGGTTAGGTATGGCCTGGAGAGCATTTTCACAGTTAGAACGTATGCACCAATTGTACCTATACTTTGAGAAGTTGGATCTGCCTACAGTGACACATGCCTTGATGGTATTCCCTTTGGACTACTGTAATGCACTCTACTTGGATGTACCTTCAGAAAGATTTCAGCAGGTCCAAAATGTAATGGTCAGACGGTTGGCTGAGGTTGGGCACAGGACCATCTAACTGTCCTGTTGAAATAGTTTCACTAGCTATCAGAATTCAAAGTGCTGGTTAAAAGATCTCCATGGGTGAGTGTAGACCACTGCTTCTTAAACTATGTGTCCCAACCTCAATTGGGGTCCCATAGGAGAAAACTGGGGTTATAAAAATATCCTATAAAAGTAAAGCTATCACCATAGTAATACGAGTAATAATACTGCTATGATTATTATTTCTCATAGTATTGGCAATAGTAAAAGGTTTCAGAAGGCCACCCAGTGGCTACTTCAGATATTTTCATGAATTTTTTAGCAAAGGCGTGCAGTGTTTACAATGGACTCTGCATAAGATGCTTCTGCTGTATTTCATAAAAAGAAAAATCAGGCTGTATAGCAAGCATCACAAATGCTGGTTTACTATAAGTAAATATTTGACTTTTATACCCAGTTATATACCTGGGGTCATGTAAAAATTCCCAGAGGTCTGGGAGTGGAAAAGGTTTAAGAAGTCTTGGTCTGAACTATTTGAAAGATCATATCTTCTGCTATCAACCAACATGTGTTTTAAGATCTTCAGAGGGAGGTTATCTTTCAGTTCCAGTTCTCTTACAGATTTGGTTGTTGAGGGGAGATAATAAATAAATAAAATATATGTATTTTCCAAATGTTGTAACTCTCAAATTACTCCTAGGTAAACATAGACTGTCTACAAATGTCACTCTCAACTTCTGGAATGATTCCACCAGCGTTGCCTCCGAAAAACCCTGCAAATCTCTTGAAAACATAGGTGGACAAATGTCAGTGTGCTGGAAGAAGCAAAGACCACCAGCACTGAAGAAATGATCCTCCGCCATCAACTTCACTGGACTAGCGATGTTGCCTAAATCACCATCTCCCAAAGCATTTATTATACTCCCAACTCAAGAACGAAAAACGGAATGCCGGTGGGCAGGAAAAGAGATTTAAAGATGGGCTTAAAGCTAACCTTAAAAACTGCAGCATAGACACTGAGATCTGGGAAGCCTTGGCACCCTTGAGCATTCTAAGTGGAGGTCAGTTGTTACCAACAGTGCTGTGGAACTAGAAGAGGCATGAATGGAGGGCGAAAGGGAGAAACATGTTCAGAGGGAGATGTGTAAAGCCAACCTTGTCGGGACTGCCTTCCATCTGGAAATCCATGTCCTCACTGTGGAACAACATGCAGGTCAAGAATAGGTCTCTACAACTATGGACCCATTGGCAAGACCCTGCAATTGGAAGGTAATCATACTTGGCAACAAGTGATAGCTGATGATGATGATGATGATGATGATGGTGGTGGTGGTGATGATGACTATGTATTTTTTTCTGTGTCAGGAGTGACTTGTGGAACTGCAAGTTGCTTCTGGTGTGAGAGAATTGGCCGTCTGCAAGGACGTTGCCCAGGGGATGCCCGGATATTTTGATGTTTTATCATCCTTGCGGGAGGCTTCTCTTATGTCCCCACATGGGGAGCCAGAGCTGACAGAAGGAATTCATCCTTACTCTATCTGGATTCGAACCTGCGACCTGTTGGTCTTCAGTCCTGCTGGCACAAGGGTTTAATCCATTGCGCCACCGGAGGCTCCTTCCTATGTAATGCTAATGCCAGATTACTTGCTTTGAATAAAGGAGTTCCCTAAAAAATCTCTTCCATTCTAACTCACTCTCCATATGCCTTCACTTGTGTGTGTGAATCTGTATAGGATCTTCCATGGGAAAAGAAAGGGAAGTCTCTGTAGAGTCAGAGGTGGAAAGGGGGCTAGTTAATCCTCTCAGTGACATCCTACTAGGTCAATGGAACTTGGTGTAAATATAAGTGAGTGGTGTCAGCTGCTAAAAATGGGAATAAGGGTTCCAGCTCTCCTGCTAAAGAACAGGAGATGGACCAAACCCATGAACATGATGTAAAGAACATTTACAGTTGCTTTCATCCACACAGAGAAAACAGCATCAACCGCTAAGAGATTTTCACCTTATATTTTTGAATACTGTTTTGCATCTGATTTTTTTTCCAAAAAAATCCAGTTATAAAAATGTGCACAAAAGCGCTTGCCATTTTTGCCAGCAGCAAGAAAACTTTTGATTTCTCCCATTTTTCTGTGTAAGAGTTAAAAAAGTAAAGAGATTAACATCCCTACTCTGAGATAGTGAGGAGGAGTGCAATTTTCACACCAGAAAACCCCGCAACATATTGAAGATGGCACCAATTATGCCTAGAAGAAAGACAAGCAAAGGCAAGCCCAGCAAGAAGGATATGGAATAGTCAGTTATTCAAGAAAGGAAGCCTATTTGCCTAAGGATGTTCAAATTATACAAATGAGAACTGGCACATAGTCAAATGTTTATATCTTGATATTCAGAAGCTGTAGTAACATATTTAAGAAACTATAATAGATCTACAAAAGTCTACTGATAGCAATTGGGGTGCGGGTTATTCTTCTGTTTGTCAGACCATAGAGCAGTTTAACCATTTCATTATATCATATTTCTCGATTGTACTTGGGACCAAATGTTATTTGTGGTAGTCCTGATTCAATTAATAACTACTTGCCTATTTGCAGTCTACATTTTAGGTGAATCATGCAGAGGAACGTTATAGGGTCACCTGAACCAAAAGTTGATCTGGGCAGTTTGGAAGGTTAAAGATTATTTATATAAAAAGGTTTTTAAAAGACAAAGAGAAGATTTGTAGTTTGAAATACTCTAATCTAATATTGCTATGTAACACGATTTTAGGTTGTTAATAATAATAATAATTATTATTATTATTATACCCACACCACCTCTCCTTGATATAAATCTGATTTTCTAATTGGTTCTATCATAAAACAATGGGAAAAGTTTATTAAACTGCAAAAACTTTGTTTTTATGGGGCATCCTGCAACACATTTTGCTATAGTTTTTCAATGAATATCTCAGAGTTTCAACTAATTAACCATAGTTTGTGGCAGCCACAAAAATGAAATTTTTGGAGTATTACAACTACTTTCAAAGTAAGTACCGCACAATTAAACAGGAAATAGTGTTATATAGTGTAATTTCAATAATGAAATACTCATGTACTTCCACTATTTTTATGTCAGAGTGATATTGTTTTCAAATGGCTATGTTTCAATTTAAAAAGTGGTAAAGTGAAACATCACCAAATTAAGACATTGAAAGGAATAAGCCATTCATTCCTTCAGTTTTGGTGCCAATCTTAAAGAGATACCTCTGTTCCAAGTGAGATATATGTATCTGTTACTTTTCCGGACTCTTTAGGTGACGACTGCCAGAAGATTGATAGCTGCAATTTTATAGGATATTTCATTGCAGCAGAATTTAAGCAGTAGCATTCTCCAACCTTAATGTTTTAAAATAAAAATGAAGATGACATCTGTGATTTGTTTCTGATATCAGTAAGTACTTCTAGTGAACATCAAATGCTTAAAACAGAATTGCTGCAGGAAGATGGAAAATGTAATGTGGTATATTGTACCTTCACACAGGCCTGAAATGGCAGAGAAAGAAGAAAGCCTGTGTGGTGTAGAGATTTGAGTGTTGGACTATGACTCTGGAGACCAGGATTCGATTCCCCACTTGGTAATGGAAACCCATGGAGTGGCCTGGAGCAAATCACACATTTTCAGCCCCAGAAAACTGTGATCGGTTTGCCTGAGAGTCACCATGAACTGGAATGAGGTGAAGACAAACAAAAACAACAACAGAGCACAGTAGAGGCCAACTGAAACTTTCTCTGTTAAATTACTTTATCTACTCATGTACAACTTTAGAAATTTCAGTAACCAACATCCTGGATCAACTTATGTAAATAGTGAACACTTTGATCCCAAAGGGAACCATGGCCTTTTCTGAGTACAGTAGTGAAAAGCAAGAGATTGACCATCATGGGAGAGCCTAAAAGAAGCACTAGCCTTCTTTACCGTCTCCATTGTGGGACCACTTCTGAACTTTTTGAATAAATGAGCAGAGAAATGGTGGGGATTATTCTGGTATTTTTCCTTCTCCGTGGTATGATCTTTGATTTATCTGTGGGTCACCTCCAAATCCATATAACCTGTTCCTCCTTTATCTCACCCTGAGTTTTTTTTAACATTTTATCCTGCACATGTGGCCCGCCCATTGTCATTGTTATTGTGTTTATGTAATTTTATATTGCTTAATGTATTCATATGTTTTTTATGTAATTATGATGTTGTTATCTGTTGCTTAGTGTTTTTGGTTTTATTTTGCTGTAATCTGTTGGTCAGGCTTGGCCTCATATAAACTGCCCCAAGTCCCCGTTGGAGGAGATGGTGGCGGGGTAAAAATAAAGTTTATTATTATATTTTCCCCCAAAACCTGTCCTCAACTTATTCATGATGTTGACTTACATATAAGTGAGTACATACAATACATTAGAGAAGATGATCCTATGGAAATGTGCCCCCTCTTGTTTTACAACTGCTTCTATACTCCTATCACCCCTTCATAGTTTTGATCTTTGAGGCTCTCAAAGCAAACTTGAAATTTAAATTTAAACAGATTTTGTGTAAATGTGAAAACTAGGCTATTTACTGTTTTCTAGAAAATAGCTCTGAGTAGTTCCATCTTCATGTCAGGGAACCAGTGCATAAAGATATCTGGATGGCCTCTAGTCTTCTTTGTATATTGACATTTAGCTGAGCCAGAATACCTGCTTCTATTTCTGGTATACTTTCTTAAAATATTAAAATCCATGACGATTTCTGGTGGTCTTTAAACCAAATGGATAAGAATTGGGGGGGGGGGGGGACAAGCCTATGTGTTTTATTTCACTTGGTAAGCTTTTGTAATGCTCCTATTCATTTCTTTTTGTTTAACTATTTTAAGAAAAATACATACAGGGCATATCTTGTGATTACTCTAAAGACATCACTGATTCATTCAAGGAGAAAACTGAAATTATTAAACCAATATTGGGGGCAATATAAATTATAGTCATAATCTAATGCAGAGAAAATCTTTTTAGTCCCAGTTGTTTCAACCTTCCTACCCTTTCGGTTGAAATTAAAATACTTTGTACAGCCATTCTTTTGCTTATCCCAAGGACTAAATGTCTGTATCTTCTATGACCACAATGCATTACAATCACATTAGTTTATATTCTATGGTGACATGCTTAGATAATTTCAATACAAATGTTTTAGGTCAGAGAACTGGACCAAAATCAAAATCCAATTTATCTATTATTATATTTTACTGTGAAATGGCTTCCTGAATTATATATTTTGTTTTGTTTTCTTATTTTAATATACACGCTATTGTTTGAAATCTGGTTTAAGCATTTCTATTTCCAGCTTCCCCAGATTTAACAATTAAATGAATGAGAAAAGAATGTTACACAATCCCTCCCACAGATCCTAGTAATTAAAAACATAGGACTTGTTCATTCATTTCAATAATTAACCCTGATTAAAGAGAATCAAAGAGACAAAGCATCCCCTTCAGAGCATTAAGCTATATCTCCAGTTCCTCTGCGTAGAAAAATAATTCTCCAAGCTGACTTTTTAAAGCATATATTACTCACATACTATTGAAGAGTTCCCGGTATGTTTCATCACCTTTTCCTTCTGACATTAAACTATCCAATTTGTCAATCAATTTTGCTTCTACCTGTAAGGAACATATATTGATACTTAAGATGTTTCGTGAGTACAAATCAACCTCTTGATTAATATACTGAAAAAAATAGTGCAAAGGACTTTACTAAAGAATTACTTATATATGAAAAATTCAAGAGTTGCCACCATGTTGTCACTTCTTTATAGGGCTGTAAGCATCTCTTGTATGGTATGTGTATGTTGATTTAAGTGGAATAATGTGCTTTTAGGTGACAGGCATTTGCTGTTGCTAAAAGGCAGCCAAGTAAGAGCAGCAGGCCTAATTCTTCTGCTTGAAAATCATATCCCAAGACTGAAAACAAAAGGCGTAATATACATCCCAGCATAAAAGCACTCCCTTTGCCTTTCTTTTTTCATTAAGCATTATCTTGATGTGAATTTCTTCCATGCTTCTTGATCGTCCAATACCAACACTTATTCTGTCTCCAGTTAAATCTGGACAAGTGAGAAAATGTATTTAATTTTAATCTTAGGAAATGAGAGCAGTTGGGGACGACGGGTTCAGCGGCTAATGCTCATTGCTTAAACACGCTTGGGGTTGCGTTTTGTTATCAAGGAAATGTAACAAGGTGGCTGCGCATAGTTAATATTGCACGGGGAAATCATCTCCTCTGCAGTAATAGAGATAATTAGTGAATGAAAAACTAAAGGGGAGGCCTGCCATAGAGTTATTAAAGAATGAATGATAGCTAATGCCTTTAATGAGAATTCATAATGCAAAGAGACATCAGAATGTCTCTACACAGCTTATATGAGAACTATTTCTCCACTAAAGGCTCATAAAATAACTGTCAGTCTATGGTAGGCTATTTATCTTGCTTTCACTGCTTCACTTTTGTGCCTTTATTAACCCGCTCCCCAGTTATTTTACTCCTGCTATTTTGCCATTCACCTCACTCATTTAGATGCTTTTGCTTTGCTTCATTGGCAGCAGCAGGAAAGGGAACACAGAGAAATGGCTTGAAGCGACACCAAGAAAGGGGGGGGGGGAGCTGCAATAGCAGATGGTGCATTTAGTACTTTCTTACTTGGCGTGTCTAAGGCTGCTTCAGTAGCAAGAGAGAAAGAAAAGATTCATGTGGTAGGGCTTGGCAAGTCACAAGGGTCATCCTCTGGAAATGGGAAGCTTAAAGTATGTTAATGATCATGGCAGACCTTTATCTTCACAATGCTGTTCCCACTTGTACAGTTCATAAGTGATATTCCTTGCATCATAAACGTTTCAAGGTGGGCCTTTTGGAAGAATCATTGTTGTGGGATGTTATGTTCTTTTTTCAGTTGCTCTCTCATATGTGACTCTCCTAGTTAAGTGCCATTATGGAAGAAATATGCTGTCTTTGATTTAAGACTTCTGCAGTTCCGCATTGTAACTATGGCCTATGGGAAGCCTACCAGAAGGACACAAGTACAACTGCATCTGTTTTATGTTTTGGAGTACTGCGCATGAGAAAAGGCTGAACACGACTTTCACACTATGCAGTAATGGCACTTACTGCATACTATGGAATCCTGGGTTTGTAGTTTGGTTAAATTATAAATTTTGGGAAGAATAATATCTTAATAGATCAAAGAATACTTAATAGATACTTAAGGAGAATTCTGATATTGGTCAATATTTTGTAACCATAGGAGTTATGTGACCAACTCAATAGCTCCTCAAGGAGTCCCCAGTGATGCAATGGGTTAAATTTGATGCCAGGACTGAAGGCTGACAGGTTGCAGGTTCAAATCCAGGGAGAGTGCAGGTGAGTTCCTTCTGTCAGTTCCAGCTTCCCATGTGGGGACATGAGAGAAGCCCCTCACCAAGGATGATAAAACATCAAAACATCCGGGCGTCCCCTGGGCAACGTCCTTGCAGACGGCCAATTCCCTCACACCAGAAGTGTCCTGCAGTTACTGAAGTCACTCCTGACACAAAAAAAAGGTTCTAGAAAATCCGAACAGATTCAGACCAACAAGTAGAAGGCAAAGAGCCTTTCATTTCCAAGGTGTAGGGGTCCCTGTGCATAATAATACAAAATAAACAGAGTAGCTAGGAAATTGTTTTTAAAATGTTTTGTTAAAAAACTTTACTTTTAATTATTGTTTTGTGCGGGTTTAAATACAGTGTTACAATTTATATTTTGAATACATGTCCATTAACAGAGCCTCTAGTACATATTTCTGTATGGTCTTTGCTTCAACGGAAACCTGGATGGCAGATTGATGGCAACATAGCTGTATACCCCAAGGTTTTTTTTTAATACACACACACATATCTAGGACACCTATGTTTTGACAGTAGAACTCTGAACAATTTAAAAAGGAGACACTAAAGAGGCTACTAACATTTGGGGAACAGTAATTTACCAATACATTTTCACTGGAGTCATGTAATCTTAACAAAATATGAAGAAATTTGGTCATAAAAAATGACTTCATTGCTTGCAGCAAAGGATAGGTGTAGTCGTGTGCTTCTCTTTCTGTTCTGCTTTGATATTTTTAGCTATTTGATATGTGCGTGGGCCATCTCTCAAGATGGAGAAGACATACAATTTTACTGATTCTTACAAGCTATATTTTTGTTTCCTTTTTATCATCAACAATTTTATTTTATGACGATTCAAAAGCCTCTCTCTTAAATATGCTTGTTCATTTTTTGCTGAGCTTTAAATAACTTTAAAATGTTTCTTGTGCACCATTTGTCATCTGTTATGCTTTAATTAGTTGTACAGTTAGGTTTACTATGTCCTCACTGCCTTTTCTGTTAGTCAGAGCATAACTGCTTTATTTGTTATGCTCAGATCAAAACTAATATTTTTAATACAATATATTTTGTATTTTAACTGTTCTTATGAACATCCATAACCTTTCACTACCCTGCTATTTCAATACATTTTAAATTATTATGATTAAATTATTCATTATAGTCTGGTTTTGGCTAAAAGGTCACTCTACAAGCACTATATACACATTAAAACTTATTCCATACTGGCTCTTTAAAATTACAGTAGCAGTGACATAACAATAACAGTGTCTGATTTGTATCATCCCAAACTATCTCCATTTCCATTTCTAGCCTCCGCTGTGGACTTTTTGGGCTGAGAGTGCAAATGTGGCAACCTTTAATATTTTGTTTTTTGAATAATCTGCTAACAAGTAACAGATAAGTGCTGAATGTTGCCATGCTTCCCCTTCCAAAAGGGCTCTCAGAATATTGTTTCTAAGGTCATTATACAAAGGGCAATGGAATAGTATATTGAATTCTCTCTTACCCTTGACCCACAAATACAAAGTCATTGGGCATGAGGGATCCCTCTATATCTTCCCTCTAGCCAGGCTGATGGCATTGTTTGGAAGTGCAGGGTTGTAAATAGTTTTCTAAGGGTTTTCTAAGTCGCCGTTCCAGGCTGATAAATGCGGTATACAAATAGAGTAAATAAATAAATAAATATTGACCTTAAACCTTGAAGATATTGTTGACAATATTGGTCACTCTTTAGTAGAGGATACCAAGTGATGAAACACTGCTGTTTACAAGTCCAAAAGTTGTCAGATACATTCATCTTAAATATTTTGCTTCTAATCGCCTTCTTGTTCAACTGCATTAGGGTTGTTGTTGTTAACACATCAAAATACTGATGGCACAGGGCTAACCAGTTTTGAGCCCAACCTCCCTGCTTATATTGCTCCATCAAGCATTGCTTTGTTATACTCTCATCCTCCATTTCCAGAAGTCTCTTCCCATATCAAATGTTAAGCTTATGCATTCTGGCCTTAAGCAAGGGAAGATCACGCTATAAGATCGCTGGAGCAAAATAAAATACTAATAAAGATTTGATTTTTCAACTGTATGCCACAAGCACCTATTGAAAGTTGACTGAAACAAATAGTTGGCTTAGGCCAAGGCATCCAGTTTGCTAAAAGTGTTGCAAACAGAATGCCTTACTTATGGAAACAAATTAAATAGTTTTAAATGCAGTTGATATTAATAAATAAATAAACTACAACAACAAATACCTGTTTAAAGTTGCCACTTCGCCTTTGTTCCCAGTCCATCATATCATGGAAAATTGGAATCATGACATTCCGTAGGTCAGACTGAGGTATCAGGGTCACTTCTAAAAAAGGCCCAATCAACGCTGGGATGAAATGGACTTTGTGTTCCCCTAAAATGAAAATGAACAAAAGTATCTTTGTGAATCAAAATACTAGAAAACAGAAATTTTAGACCTATGAAAAACTGATCCATGTGGTCTACAGATCTAGACAATACCACTCCTAGAATGGCTGATTTCAAAAACAAATATAAGAAATAAGGAAAAGCAGCAGCAACAGCTGAATTATAGCCAACGCTGTTAATCTGCTAGAGAAATCAGAACCATCTGGTAGCATCGATTCCTCTCCTTCCCTGCTATTTTTCCTTTCATGTCCTATGGAGAGAATATAAGGATGATAAAAGGCAAACCTATGTGCATAGTTTATTCACATAATATAGACCAGTGTGTCTAATCCTACACATGTTCAAAAAGAAATAGATTGAGCTGGTCAAGTATTTAATGTTTTGGAGGAGAACAACACATTGTGAAAAAATATTTGGACTTTCTTGGAAACGCCTTAAGAAGGATTCCTATCAATAAACAAAATACAACTTCTTAAGGGAAAGATGCCAACAAGATGCCAAGACTACAAACTACAAAACGCAGTTAAGATTTTCTACAAAGGCAATCTCAGTCTTTGAGATATAAGGACACTACCATTCTTCCATGATTCTCTTGAAAGACTCATACAAATAGTTATCCATCTGAATGCACACACCAGTGGTTCCCAACCTGTGGTCTGTGGACCACCAGTGGTCCGCAAGAATGAAAATATGGTCCGCGGCCTCACCATTACTACACGGTCGCCTTGAAACCATCCAGCAACGAGAGTGACTGGTCTCACGAACCCTCTTATAGTGCTGAGGCAACGGGATGTCAGGAGGGGAAAGGCTGACTACCCATGAAAGATTACTACTACATCAGCAATAGGTTATTAAATATGATTTTCTGTGGGTGAGCAGATGTTGACTACTGGGTGGCATATGTTCTGTATCAGAAACTAGAGCTAATGTGGTCTGCCCAATGCAATTTTCTGAATCAGCACCCCAAATAATCAAACCGAATCTAAAGTTGACCAAAAACTGATTCATAATCCTTTTGGTACTAATGTTGAAGAGTGGTCCCTGTTCAAAAAAGGTTGGGAACCACTGGCATACACACATCACATAGAAGCAAAAGTGGCCAAATACACACCTACCCTCTATTTTGTGGACACAACAAAGGGAGTACAAAATTCACCTATAAGAAGGAAAGCTTGAACTTAGCTTCCATAAGGGGGGGGGGGGAGGGAATACTTTTAGCAAAGTAAAAGCCTATGCAGAAATGAACCATTAACAGCTAGTTTTATGGACTTGTTACTGTGTATTCACTCCAAAACACACAGGGGAGTTTTAAGTAGCAACAACTTTCAACCTGCTTATGGCATGAGATGGGTTTTTTGGAAGAATAATTGTCATGGGATAGAAATTCTCCCTTCTCATGAAATTTGGCTCAGTCCCCAAACTGCTAATGTGGCACTAACTTAAAGCCTCAGTTGAGCAGTTGGAAAAATAGTTTAGACATCCAAAGAAAAGTAGCAGGCAGTTACAAAGATAATGCAAACACGGTAAATAAAAGAGTTCTAGGTGTGAATGGTTTTCCTTATCTCACTCAAAAATGTCAGGAATGGAGGGAAATTTCATTTGGGTGAATAGAATTCTTATCCAAGGGGTAGAAACTTCCCCACACACACCACCACCACCACCACCCCACTAGCTACCACACTTTGTTGCAGTTCTGCACACTGAAAATTGTTAATGAACATTCAGGCGGAAACTACTGTCATGACACTTACAGATAAATCACCCATTACAAAAGTAGGCAATGTAAAAAGCATATTTTATTCAACAACTGGAATGTGACAACAATAAAGATAAAGGAAGGTGAAGCCATATGTAACGGATTGGCCTACTCTAAAGGGTTGGTGTATAAATGCAGCAGCCAGGCCCAGTTTGCAAAGCTAAGCAGAGCTGAGGAGTGGAGCAACCAGACAGTCTCTAAGCCAGAAATACAGTCTGATTGACTGATGAAATTGGAGGGAAAAGTTCAGTGGATAGAGATGGGTGGAGCCAGAGCCAAAGGATGAATAAAGCAGCCATTTTACGATCAGTTAGGGTTTTGGAAGTGAAGAAGGGCTGGGAGTTTTGAAGGGGGGAAGGAAGGAAGTGATTTGGGAACTGTTTTGTTATATGAAAGATACCTCTTTGAGGAATAATAGTTAATAGGCCTCTATAGTGTTTAGAATGCTGTGTAGGTGGAAAGGAGATTTCAAAAGGTTCTAAAAAGTTTCTTCACATTCAGAAAAAATCTCTATCACAGACAAGATAAAGTTCCAATGCATTTGATGTTTTTCTACAGATGTAATCTTTTCCCATTTTCTACACCACAGGTCAAACTCTTCCATCAATATGTCAGTATCTGGAAGGCACTCATTGTAAAGTTCTGTGTACTTGTTCAAGTTGGATTTTAAATGGCCACAATTAATAGGGAGGAATACTTGCAGTTCCTGAACTACTTCCCTGTGTCTTGTAAACCTTTCTTGAAGCTGACTACAGAAAAAAATCCAGAAATGGGATGTACACATTTAGCCTATAATATTCCATTGGTGTTGCTAGAGTTGCCTGGATTTGCTTTTACAAGTCTGCTTTGAACAGATGCGAGAAATCTTCACTTCTCCACCCATAGACTCCACCACAGATCTTGCTGTGTCAAAGATCTTCTGAAATTCTTTCACAGATTCTGTGCCCATCTCCCTGGCTTTTTCTAAGAAACTGTCAATATGTTACAGACTACAAAAATGTCCATACCTACTCTTTATAATGTTTTCCTAAACTGAAGGTATGATGACAGAAGATTTCTTAGGATATGTATGGTTATTACAAATTCAGCATTCAGAACAGCTAAAAGGAGGTGTCCAGCTTGAGAAGAAGTCTCACTGTTATACAGAGGACTTTTTTTTAGTTCTTCAAGTGTTCTCACCACCACACTTTTAAACTGCATCATGTCGCTCAATCCAATCGATTTCACAAAGCGACAATAGGTTGTCTGCTCTTGATTCAGGAAAACAGTCTTTTATATTTTTCTTCAGCAGTTCCAGCCTGATGGGTGATGCTCTGAAGAAATTACACACAGATGATATTGTTCCTTGACAGATTCTGGCAGGTGGAGTGCTACAAGTCTTTGCTAAGGCTAGATTTAATGAGTGAGCATTGCAGTGGATGTAGACAGCCATTGTATACTTCTACAATATAATTGCCTGTGCACCACTAATATGACCACTCATATTAGCAGCTCCATCATAACCATGTTCACACAAGTATTGCAAGTTCAGCCCATATTTTCCAGTGTTTTCAAAATAAATCCTGCAAGTCCTCCACCTATCATATCACTTATCTTCACAAAGCCTATAGTCTTCACTTATTCCTGCAACTTCAGCATCAATGTACCTTACCAAGAAGGATAACTGTTCTGGAGTACTCACAATCAAAGTTTCAAAACAGAGAAACACTGTGATGCATTGCATCTTTTAACCATTTTTTACTATCTTGTCACCACAAATGTCTATTAGTTCATTCTGTATTTGAGGACCAGTATACTAGGTGTTCTTAGTTGCAGTTTCAAGATGACTTTTCAGGCCATTGTCTCCAGATCTGGCACAATATGTCAATAAGACCCTGAAATTGCCATCATTGTACAAAGGTTCTTCTCAGGTAATACTCCCTGGATCATTGCTCCTGCTTAAAACCAGTTCATGTTGGCCACAAAGGACAATCGTTTCCACAATTGCCAGAAGCTTCTTTCTGTTTTCTTCTGCTTTCTTCTTATTTCCTTTATTATGAGGAGGGGTTACATCAAGTTAACCAGTTAAAATTCATGAGTATACCAGGTGCAATTTGGGGGGGGGGGAGGCTGTACTTGTATTACCCCCTCCCCCAGCTACAGGCTAAGTAGTTAATGTGTACTGATCCTGTAACAGCCAATATTGTAGAACCAACCATATAGGTTCTCCCTTTTTAAACCAACTCTCAAGTTCCTTTGATGCCTATTATGAAGACATTTGGGGATTTAGGCAAATTCATAATAAAACCAATGAAAATAAAATTCTCAGCAACATTTTGTTAAATTATCACACTCATTGATCAGCCTGCTATGGGTGCAGAAAACAACATGTCTGAAAGGCATCAGGCTAGGAAAAGCTGGTATAGATTGGAATTAAAAATCTTTAATTTAAACAAATTAAAGCTATATATTGGGATCCTAAGAATTACAAGTAAGCTTACCTAAATTTTGCCACATGCTGAAGATCTCACATCCCATTGTCACTCGCATATCACCATATCTGTGAAATATTTTTTAAATATATAATCAAAGATTAGTTAATTGATAACATTACTTTGTATATATCTGCAATGAAGGTAATTTCTGTTCACATGTGGAATATAATAATAGTTTTAACCCAGAAGCATTTTGGGTAGCAATGAAGAAAGGGAAAAACAGATCCTAGAGGTGCCGGAATTTGGGGGGAGGGGGGGAAGAAGTCATATTCATGGTAAGTAGTAAAAAAGCAGAGAAGCAGTGGTCTGAATATATTATCCAATGAATCATAAAACATTTTTGATTTTTTTAAACTTGACACTACATTACAAATTGTAATGCCTCATTAATACCAGTAATATACAAGAAGACTAATATAAAATGAGAGACATAACGTTGGCACTTACTAATGCTCCATTCATACTTTCAATAATGGAATTATTAATTTGTCACATTTTACTAATGCCAACTTCCTAATTCATTTTCCATATCCATGTTGTGTAGCTGTGAGACTACACCAGCATTATGTTAGAATTCAAATAGAAGCACAACTATGCAGAAAAGAATGTCAGATGTATCTGAAGCTTCCCTTGCAGCTTGCCTATTACGAAAGTAGCATGCTGCTGGCAAAGGACCATGTTACGCATTCATTCTTTGGATCTTGACTAATTCTTCCTCCCACTTAATCTCCATTAATTTAAATTAAATTATTTAAATTAAATAAATTGGAATCAAGATAATGTAGAATTTATTTAGAACTGAAGTAGACCAGAGACAATGTACTGGAAAGACTGTGTAGGATGTTTACAAAATTACCAAAATGCCAAGTTGTTTGCTGACACAAGTCATTCAGCCATGTGGAAGAAGTACTAGTTAAATGTTAATAAATCACTTTTTATGACTAGTTCTCTATCAATATTTGAATAAATTGTCTTTTGTACCCAGCACAAAATAAATTAAAGAAGCTAAAATATCACAAAATGCTATTCTCCATTCTCTCATAATGCTCTCTTCCCAAATATAATATACACTTTAGTAGCTGGATGTTCTCTATTTTTATGGGAGGCAATAATGATACTTACTTTTCCAATACCTTTTTCTTCTTAGAAGGTGTGAACATTTCTAATTGCAGACATAACTGGTTTATAAAAATGACAGCAAGGTAAAAGTAGGAATCCCATATCTAAAAGCAAATTAAATTGGGTAATTTTCCTTCTTTATTGTGACACTATTCATAAACAGATAGTGTGGTTACTTATTTTCAGAGTGCAAAGCAATTTATATCACTGTCACCAAAACTACAGTTGCTGTATCTTTATGTCTATGTTATTACAAGCTAGGAACAGTCTGATGCTGTCAAGGTAATTATTTCTTATTATCAACAAAGCTCTTCATTTAACTCAGGTTTGTAATAAAACACACATGACTGTTCCCCTATGAAACTTTAAGATATCAGTGCAGGAGGAAATTTCAGAATCCTTATTAGCTATGGTGATCCAGCACAACAGAAATTAATTCATGATGCTATGTCTCATAATATATAAACCACACAACCAATATCCATGGTTTCACCTACCGACATCCAACAAAATATTTCACCAGTAGGAATTTTCTATATCTTTCAGACAATTCTATAGTGTGCTTCCACTGAAAGTCACCCTAGAATTGCTCTAGAAGACCTAGCAATTTCCTAGAAAGGATACTCTATGGCAGTGTTTTTCAAACTCTGCTCTTCTAGATATTTTGGACTTCAACTTCCACAATTCCTAACAATTCCTGGAAGGGAACTCTGGGAGCTAAAGTCCAAAATACCTGGGAGGAGCAGAGTTTGAGAAACACTGCTCTATGGAAACTACTGCCAGAAGTAATTATTTCAATAAGATTTGCAGTTATCCATTGTTTCCTATTTTCATAAGTTCAGGAATGTATCTCCTGTGAATATGGAATCAAATTGTACAAGGAATGATCTGCATGATTCTCTCACTCTTCATCCAATTTAACTCATTATGTACTAGCAAGTAGTTAGGGTTAAACTGACACGCAGCATTCCCTTTTATCCTTATCATATGGAGAAATACATGTTTAACTGCAAACTTAAGCTTAGCTATTAAGAAGTAAGCACTCTCTCCAACCAAACATATATTGACTTAATTCTAGGAGAAAAGACACAGGGCTATGCTAATTTACTCATCTCTACACGTTTATTATGAGATTAGGTAAAGTATACAAAAATTCCTTTGGTAAATTAGTAGCAAAGTAACCTTCACAGGAAGCATAAAACACAGTTCCACTGGACATTGTAAGAATAGACTTAATCATCTTAATGATCTCCCAAATGGTTATGACCAACTATGGCACAACAATTCCTGGATTTATTTTCACTTTTGCAGGAGCACCACTGCCATCAATGAAGTGTTTAAGCACTGTTGATTTAGGATGTATCTCTTGAGCTAAGTGAGTTCCACTGCAATGCCCACTCAATCAATGCAGGGCCCATTTGTATCAGATGGTTTGCATGGAGACACATAGCTATATCTATATTGCAATCAAATTGTGCATCTGCTGCTACATAGCAAAAGAGGATGATCCTCTCGTTCTTCTTGCTCTAACACAGTGCCATTTCTGATACGAGAAAGAGATTAAACTGTTGTTGTTAGCTACTTCCAAGAACTTCAATTTAGGGCAACTCTAATAAAAGACCTCAAAGACCTCCTATCCTCAACCACCCTGAAGACCCTTCATTTTGCCTTCCTTCCACCTGTAATATGCTCTTCCTCTTTTCTGACTGGCCTCCGCCATTTCAAACATTATCATATTTTATACTGACTCATGATATGGCCAAAGAAATGTAGAAGGGACCAATCCATTTGAAGCACAGAGGGACCACATGGCAGAATGGAAGAAACAGACAGAAACATTTCAGAGACAGAGTTATCCATAGTGCGGGGCAATTATCAGTGCTTACCTTGTAATCAAAGCTTTCGTTTAAAAAGTTTTTACGAAGGGCATCCGAAAGATATAACACTGTTGTAATGATAACACTGTGAGAAAAACAAAAGAATTAAAAGTTAAAAGAATGACAATGCAATGTGGATAGTGACTAAATTATTAAAATCTATGCATTATGTGAGTTGATATTCTTTTTTTATTCTGAAAATTGTTTATTCAGGCAACAAAACCAACTGCAAAGTACAAGATGAATGACACATAATAAAATCCTTAATGTCTTGTGAAACAATTTACCAGATGCTGTGATGTGTATTTTGCTTCTAGCTCTTTGGTGTGGCATATGCTATACTGCTGATTAATACATATTTTCACTTCAATGAATTTATGAATCAGAGTAATGGAATAAAGCTATCAATAAATACCTGAAAATGCTTTTTGTGTCTGTTCCAACTCTAGATTTCCCAGGTGTTAGGCTCTGGCCACAAATCCCAGATCTTTGACACCCTCCCTTTACCCTTAGAGTAGGGATTAGGGTAGGATGACCCTTAGGGTAGGATGAGATTGCGGCTTTAAAATGTGTGTGTGTGTGCGCGCGCGTGCGCGCGTGTGCATATTAGACTTGGTGTTTAAATGCCATCCTATGGGCAATTCTGGTTCATGGTTCAAGTGCTATGATTAATTGAATAACTAGAGCTTCTGCACTGTGATATCACAAAGGATCCAGTTTTTGGATTTCAAGTTCTGGGATAGTCCTGACCTGATAATCCTACCTGAAATAACCAATTTTGTTCCTTAAAAGCCAATATGCTAATTTCTCAAACCCATGTATTTAGGAATAATTATTTGTTATTTTTAATACCAAAGCATGATCTCAGGCTCTAATTTGCCAGATATTATCAAAAGGCCAATTTAAAACTGAAGCACAGAACTGGCAGGTATGGGCGTCTCTGCTGTCCCTTCAGCATTTCAAAAATGTTACACAGTCAGCTGAATGCTATGGTGGATGAAAAAGGGAGGATCCACAAGAAGTAACATATTTGTTTCCAGGTTTAACAAGCTGTGATTTAAATTTGAAAAATTCATAACTAGACTTTATGTTTTACAGATGTGTTAGAATAATAACCATATATTTAATGTTATGGAGACTTTTCAACATGATATAGCATAGACAGAGGCAATGTTCTGGAGTGCTTATTATAGGCTTTGGCCGATACACCAACTGCATCCCTTCCTAGAACTGGAATACCTAAAGATGGTAGTGCAGACGCTGTAACCTCATGGTTGGATTTCTGCAGTTGGGCTACCTCTGTAAAAGTTCAAAACTTCAATTAGTTCAAAACATGGCAGCCAGCGTGGTAGCGGGTACATCTAGGAGTGAGCGTATTTCACCAATATAAAAATCATTCCACTGGCTGCTAATGGGATTCCCCCTGGCATTAAGTCTAGTCATGTCCAACTCTGGGGGGGGGGGGGTGTGCTCATCTCTGTTTCTAAGCCAAAGAGTCGGTGTTGTCCGTAGACGTCTCCAAGGTCATGTGGCCGGCATGACTGCATGGAGCGCCATTATGTTGTTTATGATATTTAAATTTCACGTTATTTTGACAATTATTTTCAATGATGCCATTCCTTTGGCTAGAGCTCCTTTTCATTTTTTTCATTTCTTGCAGTTTATTAATTTATTTTATTTATATCCTACATTTTCCAGAACTGGGGTCAAGGTATCTTGCAACAAGTCCTTTTTCTGGACTTGTTGCAAGATACCTTGACTCAAGTTCTTTTCAATGACTTTCTTAATTTGACTGAGAAAAGGCCAATCCTAGCAGTTCTTTGCAATTTCCATCATCAGGGAAAGCAGATGGTATGCTATACTCGGCCCATTACTATTGTCCCTAAATAATAAGTATGAATCTTGCCAGTTGAGATGCGAGATCTGCCTTGCATTGTCCACTGGGAAGCAATGGGGATGAAACCTCTTCTTGACTAAACAAGACTTCTGGCAGCCTACTCTCCTTATATGGAGAATCAATATGGAAGTCAAAGGTGCATTATTACTCCATGCAAGAAGATAAAATACTTCGCTACATCTCTACCAAGGAGACAGACTGAATAAGACACCTGTCCTTCCTATGGATGTTATTTCAGTGGTGATATCATTTACACAAAAATGATGGAATGTGTAACATGGCATATATATTTATGGGAACCAAATTCATTCATATTATTATCTTATTTAGATCATGTTTTTCTCCTGAGAAATACAGCTCATAAGAAGATGCAGTGTGTAGAATGGTGCATATGTATATATATGGTGGGACAAAAGTCACAAAAGCAGCTGATGTTTTAATAACCTTTACAAAATTTTACATGGAATGGAATGGAATTTCCTATATATACTGTATATGATGCCATGATATTAAAAACAAAAACAACATAAATAAGTTAATAAATATTGAATCCCCTTTGTGACTTTTGGTCCACCCTGTATATGTGTGTATATATCATTGTTTTGTGCCTTCCAATAATTTCCTAAGGCAAAATACCAAGGCTTTTCAGGGTCTGGAAATGCATCACTTGCTCATGTCACCCAGTGGGTTTCCATGGCTGAGCGGGCAATCAAACCCTGGCCTCTAGAGTTGTAGTCCAATGTTCAAACCATTATACCATGCTGGTTCTCACACACTAATGCAACATTTCAATTTTCCACATGTATATGCTGCCTTTCTCACAGAACTAGAACTCAAGTTAAGTCACAACAGTGTTAAGACACAGACAAAAATGTGCACACCCATACAGAATATCAAAACACCATCTAACAAATTATAATATTAATTAATTGGGTTAAAAACATCCTATTAAAAGCCCCTTTCTCGGCAATCAGAAAATGGCTAAAAGCCAGTCTGAATAAAAATGTCTTTGCACAAGGGTGGATGGGAATTCCCTAAGTTGAAAGAAGGCCTTTTTCTTGCACCCCATTTCTCCAAACGTGCTGCTAATTGTGGTGGTACTAAGAGGGGAGGGATCACAAAATCTGGGTATACTCTTATGGTTTTTCCATTGCTTGTGGATGGGCAACACCCCTCCCGCCGACAAACCAAAGATGACTCAAACACTGAGTTGGGAAGAAAGTGGCCACAACTTGTTTATTGATTACAGGAACAAAAGGGGTTGGCTGCGAGGCATGGGTTCTGGATCATGATCGGTCAGCCCGCTGCTGACCGATACCATTATACACATCAGAAGGTCACCAGCACAATACCAGGCTAATGTTACTCGGTACCACTGGATGTCCCCCCCCCCTTTCCATAGGGGGGTGGTGGAAGAAAATCAGATCCAGGGTCCATACCACACACCAACCAAATTGTGACAAGCTAACAATAACCAAACCTATGGCAACAATGTCCAAACATAAAACAGGCATGCAGAGCGGGTGGGGTGGTCAAGCTGAAGTAGGTCTGGTGCCTGCGGAGGCCCAGGACAGCCCTATAAAAGGCTGCCAGGTGAAAGAATCAGCCAGCCCTGGCCAATCCGAAGCCAGGGCAGGACCAACTGCCGATTGGAAACTTCCCACCATGCAGGGGGCTTCTGGGAAGAAGAAGCCCCCTGCATTTCAGCATGGCGGGTGGGAGGGGGGGCACCACTGCAACGGACCTCGCCTGGTAAGTCGGGCAAAGAATTATATACAGGACTTCAGTAGCATTTTAGCAGACAATATAATTTGAACCATACAAAGACAGATCTTCATTTTCATTGTCATCAATTTCAGCATGTTCACTTCAAAATATGCATGCAGAAGAGCTTCAAAAAGCCCACTATCTTTATGTTTTAATACTGCAGTCCTATGCAAGGAAATGCTATGTACAACAATTCAGTAAGAGATGTAATGATTAGTACTCATACATATCAACATTGGTTCTATGATTATAATTGTAATTATATTCAAACAGTCTTACTTGTTAGCAACTAAACGCATCACTGTCCAATCTTTTGGGAACATCTCTGGTCGTATTAATATTCGAAAGACAGTAAATATCTGTAACAAGAAATCCTAGGACAAAAAAAAAATATCTTAAACAAGAGGGGAAAGGCAACACATTTTATTAGCAATAAAACCATAAAATTTGCAATGAAAAAGGGAACCAGTTTGTCTAATGGCTTCTTTAAAAACTTCATTGGTTTAGCTTTGCATGAAAATGCAACAGAATAATGTCAACATGATTTAATGTCTTTTAAAGTGAGGCTTAGAAAGTTGAGCATGTTGTCAAAAAACCTATTAAAATCATATGATACTAACTAAATGCCATTCAATCGAGCCTATCTTTATACAACACATCAGAATTTTTCACACTTTGGAGGGTAATGCATAGGTGGATCTTTATCCTGACAAACACCTTTATTTTTAAACTAATGGAGTTGTATAAACAGACATGTTTAAAATAGGTTTTAGGCTTTGAGATTAATTTCTACTGGATCTGGCTACCAAAAAACTCCAGTACATTGAAGCATATTCGGCAAAGCCAAACATAACCAGTACATTTGGGGGGGGGGGGGTCTTCAATCTCAGCATCATTTCTTCAAAACTGTAAGCTGCAAAATAGACCCAGCTTAGTGCTTCAGAGGAAGACTAGCAAACAAATAAACTTTCACTGAACTTTTCCCACCATTACTGACCTTTTCATTGGGAATAACCTTTACTGGCTTTTATTATTATTATTATTATTATTATTATTATTATTATTATTATTATTATTATTATTATTATCCGCCTCTCCTCATGGTCCGAGGCAGCTTACAACATTGCTAAAACACATCATAATTTAAAAACAGAGGTAGGATACACATATTAAAACATATTTCCATAATATACATATTAAAAGACACAAAACCATCCCAGTGATTCTGTCCGAAAACGCCTACTACAATATTAAACTAATTCCTAAAACCCACAATCAACAAATGCCCCCCTCACTATTATATCTAGTAAATTAGTAAGTCAAATCCTGCATGTAGTTGGACAAATATTTCCCTTCATCAACTTAGTTTACTTGTCCATCTCAACAGATTCATGGATCTTCATTAGCCGTTGTAATCATTTTTTGTCTTCCATTCTCTGCCGTTAGGGGGAGATACAGTGTATCCTAATGGAGCCTTTGCCAATGGTAATAATAATAATAATAATAATAATAATAATAATAATAATAATATACTTTATTTATATTTTGCTCTATCTCCTCGAGGGGACTCCAGGTGGATTATAGAACACATATATGGCAAACATTCAATGCTGATATACAATTAACAAGGACAGACAATACATAAACAGAGCTATAGGCTTTCCCATCTTTTTCCATCTCTGGCATCTAGGAGCTGTGCTCGGCCATGGGATGGTGCTGTCGCTTCATCTTCCATTCCGTGGAGCTTTGTTGTCCATAATTGTCCACCCGATTGAATTGCCGGCATGTTCTTATGGGCCCCTTTTATTACATTCGTGCTTAAAGTGGTACCTATTTATCTACTCACATTGCTCTTTTTGATCTGTTAGGTGAATACAAGCTGGACTGATGGTGGGAGCTCACCCCAACCTGGGCTTGAACTGCCAACCTTTCGATCGGCAACATTTTCAATGGCTGGCGGGTTAACCCACTGTGCTAAAGCCCGGCCCAATGGTAGTGTTTAAACAGTCTCAATTACTACAGGGAGTTCAATCTAAGCCAGGATATATATACACAAAGCAAAAGTGATGGCCTTGTGGTCTGAGGATCTCCCAGTATCAAGGCTGAGGTTTATTAAACAAAGACAAGGTAAACCAAGGCTTCATTTACTTATAAGAAAACAAAAGTTCTGAATATTTTCAAAGTCTGGCTAAAATAAGGCAATGGAAGCACACAGTCAGAGTAATGATGGACACAAACCAAGGTCAAGAGTCCAATTAATGCAGATAAGTCAAGTACTACGGAGGCAGGTCAGGAGCAAGAATAAGTCTAGACCCCCATCTACAGTCTGAAGTGTGGAACATTGTATTTGCTGTAAATACACAGGTTTAGAATAAACTTCTGCTAGAACAATTTAACCTCAAGCAGTCTATAATTTATATGTGTATATATTTAACTTATATTCCCATCTTTTCATCCAACAGGGAAACCAAAGTAGTTCACAACACAAGATAAAACAAAAAATAAAACATAGATATTATGAAATTTGAAAAACAATTAACAAAGCAGTCATATTACTATAGAAAGCTTTGCTCTTCTAGTTTCAAATTATTTTCAACAACAGCAGCACCAAAGTCATGCGTGCTTTTAAAAGATGCAAACACCGGTTGCTAAAGACATGTAATCATTTGGACCCTTAGAAATAGCTGTTTACATTGGAAGGAAACCACTAACACTATTTTCATTGGTGCAATTTTCATCAAGACTAGAGAGGAAAGGAAAGTGTTTGTAATAGTTTGACTAGCTTGGCATGGACAAAGAACTACTATAATTTAGTAGTTAAGACTAAGTTATTGCATGTAATTCTCGACATTGGAGTAAAAATCTGGCAATTGAACCAAGTTTTAATCACAGTACCTAACCTCTAAAATTTAACTTAGTGTGCTTTGCTTTGAGAAGGATTTCTGTAGTAAACAATAGGGGGCAATATTTGCTCATTCTTTTTGTCCAGACGGAGCTTGATTAATTTTCAGCAGTCTGACCGCTGACCTTTTCCCCATGTTCTGTAATCACACTGAAGAATTCCTGTGGCTCTGCTTCCAATTTTGGATCCCTGAAAATGCAATTTCTCTTTATGTGCCCATTACATGTTTAAAACGGGGTTAGTGAACTCTGAAACTTTAAGGGAAAAGTGTTAAGTATTAAGGAAAAATCTCATAAAATTCAGCATATCTTTAAAAGAATTTTCAGAGGAAAGATGCAGTTCATTGCAATCGATCTCTATGATCAATACTGATTTAACTGACCAGTATCATTGTAAGGAAGCCTTATGTTGTTTTCATCATGAAGGCTACTCTAACATCTGTGATTTCTTTCATGTTGTCTTCACATGGAATAAAACAGGGAAACTATGGCTTAATCTACGCTGCCATATAATGCAGTTTAAACTGCATTATATGGGTCTACATTGACCATATAATCCAGTTCAAACTGCATTATATAGCAGTGTAGATCTAGCCTGAATGGAAAATTTACCAACAGGAAAATTATATCAACTTAACTATGAACTTAAAAAAAACCTGCCCCATCCATCTCTTCCTCCTACTCCTGCTCTCTCTTCATTTTTCTATTTTGTCACTCATTTGGGCTATCCTGTACATACAGCTATCTTATTATTTCAAGGGGGTGTTGGACATGGTAGTAATTAATGGTGCATTGGTGAAGACAAAGTATAGAACGTTAGGTTTTAAAATTAATTCACCAGTGTTAAGTATTAGAATCACAAAAACTCATGTAAACCTGTTTCAGTTATTTTATTTATTTCAGACATTTCTACCCTGCCCTTCTCAACCCCCTGGGGGGGGGGGGGACTCAGGGCGGCTTCCAACTGGCACATATTCGATGCCTACAATTCAACATAGTAAAATATACAACAACAGTAATTATAAATAATTAAAACACTAAGTTAATACAATAAAAACTACTAGAAAAAAGCCAGTCTGGTGGCCAACGTTTCGCTGAGTTATCATCGATTATCAGTTATCATTGCTGATCAAACACTTCATGTTGCATCAAACTATGGAATTTACAGAGAATAATATGGAGGTTGTCACTGCTTTTTTTCCATGTCTAGAGTGACTTGAGAAACTGCAAGTTGCTTCTGGTATGAGATAATTGACCGTCTGCAAGGATGTTGCCCAGAAGCCCCCGGTGGCGCAATGTGTTAAACTCTTGTGCCGGCAGGACTGCTGACTGAAAGGTCGGCGGATCGAATCCGGGGAGCAGGGTGAGATCCTGTCTGTCAGCTCCAGCTTCCCATGTGGGGACATGAGAGGATGGTAAAACATTTGGGCACCCCCTGGGCAAGGTCCTTGAAGACGGCCAATTCTCTCACACCAGAAGTAACTTGTCACTGCTGGTCTCAGGAGAATATATTTTGTTGTTGTTGTCATGTGCCTTCAAGTCATTTCTGATTTATGGTGACACCAAGGTGAACTTAACTTTTTATTATCAAGATTTGTCCAGTTGCCTTCCTGTTAGGCTAAGTTAGTGTCACTTGTTCAAAAGTAACCAGTGGGTTTTCATGGCCAAGTAGGCGATCTTTATGTAGTCTCTTGAGTTGTACTCCCATGCTCAAAACACTACACCACCATTACACATAGGCGCCTTTCTGTAATTTGGAATCATTACAAAGTCTATCATGTGATCATTGGCTGAATGAGGGGGAAGTCTAGGGTGCATGATAACTATCAAGTTGGAGAAGGTTCTCCCAAAGCAAGGGATCTCATCCTACAATCTCTTCAATACAATTTTTATCTTCTTTTTTTTCCAGCCCAACCAACACATGCACTTCAGTTATTCTTCAAATGCTTCCTTTGTAAAAGGCTCATAAGGAGTGATTTATTTCAGCTAAAGGGCACAGACCCCAAGTACAGCAATAAATGGATAGCTACAAAGGTCAGGTAGTGAATCCAGAGTGGAAAATTCTTAACCTTAAAGTTTTGAGAGTCTCTGTACAATGGAATCAACATATACTTTTTTTCTTCTCACTCCCAATCAGAAATGCATTCTGCAAAGTTCAGTGGAAAAGCATGGGTTTTGCATGCTGAACCCAAGGATCTCAAAATAATAAATGGCAAGTATGCAACAACATCATTCTTCTCTGAATCCATTTCACCTTAATTATGCAATTTAATTTATAAGGAGGAGAAAGAAGAGGGACTGAGAAAACAAAATGGGAAGATGGGGGTGGAAGAGGGATGCAAAAACCAAGAGAAAATGAAACAAGGTAACTTTTCACTTAATTACCCTACAGTCTATCATTATGTGGTAATACTTAAGAGTCACAAATGGATCATAGCAGCTCACCTCCAAAATACTATATAATCAATTCATATATGCATACAATTAAATGCAACAAAACTCATTCCATAATATAATCAACATGTAGGAAGAAATTAATAAAGAGATTCATAATGTATCTCCAACTTTTCCCCAGTTACTATGTTACTGAGCCTAACAAATTCCTTGTATATCAACAAGATCTATACCACAAGGGATGTTTGTTACTAGCATACCACCAATTACAGTGAAACATATAGAAGCATCTGCATTGCAGTATTTGTGAAAATGTATTCTAAAACATTGCTATGCTAAGTACCAGTCCCTGGTGAGTCTCCAGGAAACAAAGAAACAACTGTAATTGATGGACACAACTATAATACCAGTTGCTGGTGGATTAGAGAAATAATAATAATAATAATAATAATAATAATAATAATAATAAGCCAGTCTGATATACCAGATAGCTTATGAAGCACTATTTCTGAAAACATCAAAAGATGGAAAAGGCTATTGCCACTATGAGAGCTAGCTGCGCTGAATTTAATATCCTTAGACAAAAATTGATCTATATGTTACACATACAAAGCCCAAAATTCCAGGCTTGTGCAGATGACTGCAAGGAACCTAAGTCTCCTTTGTGAAGAGAAAAAAATTGGTTATAAATAAACATAATCATATTAATAACAACAATAACAGCCATCTCCAGCTATAATGTAACCGGCTTTCTTTCCAAACAAATAATTCCCAGGGCTAGCTTCTGTAATAATGGGACTAAGAGACTGAAAATAGAGTAAGTGGTGCATCTGTTGTGTGAACACACCAATATCTCTGCATCAAGAAACAAAGCAGGAGGGGAAAAACTTTGCTGGAATGATTCTTGATGGCAGAAATCCAATATTATTGTAACTTGTAATAAAATCATGATATCATAATGGATATAATGAATTAGTCTGGTGACGCAAAGTCTATAGCAGTTATGCTTCAAGTTGCTCAGAGAATATCTACTCACTGTGCACTTACAGGCTTTTAGTGAATGACATCGAGGATCTATAGTTTCTTGAACTACAAATAGAATATGTGCATGTATTCTCAGTCTACCACTGAAGCTCAAAATATTGATTCATATCTGAATACTAAGCAAGATGTAATAATAGTCTGGAGCATTTGATGGGGTAGCTGTGTGTGTAGAACTTTGCCATGAAAAATGGACTTGCAGTCTTCCATGAGATGGGAAATACCATAGAAATAGCAATGCTACATTGTTTTAACACCTGTTCCCTACTGTCGTTGTTGTTCAGATCATTTCTGAACTATGGCAAGCCTAAGGTGAATTGATCACAGGACTTCCTTGGCAAGTCTTCCAAAGAGGTTTGCTGTTGCCATCCTGCTCGAGTGGAGATTTGACCCTGGTCTCCAGAGTTGTAGTCCAATGCACAAAATTCTGTGAAAATAACATGGGGTTTCTTTTGTGTGTGGGGGGGGGGGGGATAAATACCAAATGTGTTCTTGCCCAAGTTCAGAATGGTTATTGGTATTACTTTAAAAGATACTAATTTCTTGCTGCGTATTAAAAAAGCATTAGTCACCATTACTCATAATTCAAGAGAGTGGTATATTAATACTGTGTTGCTCATATATTGCTTTTTAGTTAACTCTTGATTTTTTAAAAATACATTAAACATTTTAAAAACTGCCTACATTTCCCCAAAATAATATTTGGAATATATTGAGTAGAATGGTAACATTGTCATCATGGGGGTTTTTTTTCATAAAAAGACTGTTATTCTTGCCTCTTTACTTCCCTCTAGAGTATTGTGCTGTACATACCTTCATAACTATATATTTTTTCCAAGCTGTAATGTTATCACTTGGCTCTCTGCTTGCATGAATCTGTAAATTATTGTTTATCATTTCTACAGCCATTTCCAATTCAACACAGATATTATTTTGAATCTTTATTGCTTTGTCCTGGTGAGATCATTGGCAAAGTGGAGATTTGTATCTGCATCTTCCACAGCCAAGGCCAGCACATAGTTCAATGCATCATACTAATAGTGCCACATGGATGAGAAAGCATGCACTGCAGGGTTGAGATTTTCTACTAACTTTGGGGGATATGAATTTAAAGCAGGCATGGGGAAACTAAGGACTGGGCCCAAGATACGGTCCCCTGGGCGCTTACCTCAGATCCTCCTAATTTTCCCTGTCCTCTTGGCACAAGGACATGGTGGCCCGCCCTCTGGATCATTCTTAACTACTGTATGTCTCACCCTTCTTTTGGCATAAAGATGGCGCAAGCGGCCCCATCCTTATGACGGAAGGATGGCTCAAGGACAGTTTGAGGAAGGCACAAGGTAGCTGAGAGCCCTCTGGATTACTCTCAGCCACTGTCTGTCTCGCCCTTCCCCCAGCATAATGCCATGAGATCAGCCCCAAGGATCAAGGGAGGAGGAGAATCGGGACAGTTGGCACATGTCTTGCCTTTCTCCCGGCATAAGGATGGGACAAGCAGTCCCATCCGTATGCCGGGTGAACAACCTGAGGATGACCTGGGCCCTGTCCTCGCTCCTCCTGGCCCTGCCCTCTCCTGGGTCCTCCCCCTCCCAGGGCTGCCATACCCAGCATGTACCCGGCCATTCTCCCTCCTGGCCCAGCTCACAATGTGGTGACAAAGCAAAAAAATGTGTCCATGCCTGATTCAGTGTACCAAGTCCCCCTTAAAGTAAATTAACTCTTTTTACTTTTTTAAAACCATACCTTGGATATTTAATTTAGTGATCATTTAGGTGAGACCGTACAAACATGACAAGGAAAGGAAGCAATGGCAGGAAATATTTACGAGAGGCAACACATACAACTTATTACTTACTCTTAGCTCATCCTTTGTCTTGAATCTGTCAAGAAGTTGCTGGTAATGCCTGTCTGTCATTTGTCGTAATAATGACAATAGACATGAAACAAATTCTCCCTAAAAGAAACAGATTTTTAAGGGCAAAGTTTACATCTCAAATGAATGACAAATAGAAAAGGTCATCCTGAAAATAATTACTTTTAACCATTCACATTTGTTTTTGGTTATAAGATAGTATTTCCCCAGAGTTTAAGGAAAAACCCTTGAGATAGAATCCTTCATTCACTTCCTGGGCTGGAAGCAAATCCCCCTGAACACAATGGTTCTGCCGAGCAAACATACATAGGATTATGCTATTAAAAATGAATTTATTTGGGCTTTTAACTTCAAACGAATTCCCATGTTGCAACCTTAAGCACAATTTCGCAGCTGAGCAAATATCTTACTGTGTTCTGATCTCTTCGTTGCCTTTTAAAACAATGTTAGCATGACACAGATGTCAGTACTAATGCGGAAGTTGAAGCAAGCCTCTTGCCATATGGAAGAAAAAAGGGCTCCAATTTAAATAAAGTGAACTATGTCTATAACTATAACCCCTTTGGGTTTCACCCATGAAAAACTATCTTTCAGTTTGAAAACCAATAGGCAACCTATACAAAATGCAAATGGGCATCGTTTCTATTTGAAATCCAGCAAAATAAATGCAAACTTATACAAAGATAGGTCATTGTGCCTTTTGGTTGTCTTGCTGATATCACAGCAGAAGTGGTGTGAGCATATTTATAGAACATTTTAGGTTGTGATCTGAAAGACCCACTGGAAAGAGTGATATTTGCTTCTGAGAAAACAGGCCCAGATTTAAGCTGTTTCATTAAGGCTGTACAGAATAAGACTTGCATACTGTGATGATAGAAACACCCCTTTCCTTAGCCTTGTACCCATAGCTAGACCACCTTTGTTTCCGAGATAGAAAGTCAAATCCGATGTTTCATTATAAGTCCACCTACGTATCATGGAAATGTACTTATTTTTTTCCCCATTCTGATCGAATTGAATGGGTCCCTGACAACACATGGGGATAGAACCTGCCACCTACACTCAAACTGGGTGGTATCTTTCTTCACAAATAACTCGAGAGCATTTGGCTCAGTATGTTGCCATAAGCAAACACAGTACTGCGTGAACTTGCTACATAGGAGTATATAATTGCCTTATGCTGTGCAATGAGTCACTTAAAAATTAAGTATTTTGATGTGGTATTTGAAACTTCCCTGCACAATGGCTTGCTAGATATTGTGCAAGGACCCCGAGAGACTATTCTGTATTATAAATGAGCATAGAGCTTTTTGAAAAGAAAAGACACGGGCAAAGAAAAACCCATTACAATGAAACTTATTCAATTTAAGGCTATACTTAATTCCACAAGCCATGTTTCAGCGCTTGCACATGGGAACTACTGAATCAAAGTAAATTAACTGACATTCAACAACAGCAAAAATGTATTGTAGAATTTAGCAGTATTGGAAGTTTTCATAACTTAAATATAATAATTGTAGAAGGACATCTTCTTAGAGCCAGACTCTGTACGCTCTTAAATACATACAGCACATTAATTAATTAAAGTATACACTACATTTAAGACATAATTAATTGATGTCTTAATGTAGAGTATGCATGAATTCTGTCAATATTACTTTTATTTTTTTCTGGTAGACAAGATGTTTTATTGTCCCATCTGTGTGTCCCCCCCCCCACCTCCCCATCCCCCCCCCAAAAAAATCCTTGGTTTTTAGGTGTGTTCCTGGGATTATTTGGGGCTCTGATTCAGAAGACTGCATTGGATAGACCTCATCAACTCTAGTTTCATAGATATGGTTATCATTTTTTTTAATGGTTGAACAGATGGCAACTGGTAGATGTATCTCAAGAAATAGAGCTGATAGGGGGAAACTCGAGCCATTTTTTGGAACCTGCAAGTCAAATATACCCAGAATCAGGGCTAATATTTCAGGCATCAAAATGTGTAGGCCACTGCTATCTATTAAATGTTGACCTCTAATTTAGAGTATTTTAGGTATATTCATTTTTCATATTTTTATGAAAAAGGTTTCTTTTTAAAAGGACTCAGTGAGGCAAGGGCAGAACTAATACGTCTGCAAATCAGAGAATGAATGTGCTAAATGTATCCCTCAAACCTTTTGTTGAATGAACAAAAATAGGTCACTTGCTCTTTTAAAATTCTTATGTGCCTCCCACTGTGTAAAGTCCCTACTATTTTCGACAAAAGCCGAGCACAACCTGACATTATTTCACTTATACGGTTTTCACGCTGTTCTCAAAGAAATGAGATTGCAACCTTCTAACTCTCATTAACGACAACGTTCAACGGAATGAAGGAGGACTTACTATGCTATTTATACCTTGGGACACATAATGTGGGAGATGCATGAACAGTCTTCCAATGTTTTTTTTCCCAAAAATAAATAGGAAAGACCATTAGTTGCGAGAGCCACTAGATCAGTGGTTTTCAACCTGTGGGTCCTCAGATCTTTTGGCCTTCAACTCCTAAAAATCCTAACAGCTGGTAAACTGGCTGGGATTTCTGAGAGTTGTAGGCCCAAAACGCCTGGGGATCCACAGGTTGAGAACGACTGCACCAGACAAAATTCAATAGAGGGACAGCAAGGCAGGAGGGGGGATGTTTAACTTCACCCCACTTGATGATTTGTTTACTGAAAATTGCCTTGCCCAAATGGCTTTCCTTCCTCATGAAGAGAGATACCATACATTTCTTCTGCCTAGTGTAAGAAACAACTGAGATGAATTAAAAATGGTCGTGACTGAAAGTGCATCCAATGCACCTTTTCAGTACAGCACAGATTTATTTATCTGTTTGTTTGTTTGTTTATTTGGTGTCAGGAGTGACTTGAGAAACTGCAAGTCACTTCTGGTGTGAGAGAATTGGCCATCTGCAAGGACGTTGTCCAGTGGATACCCAGATGTTTTGATGTTTTACCATCCTTGTTGGTGGCTATTCTCATGTCCCCGCATGGGGAGCTGGAGCTGAGAGAGGGAGCTCATCTGTGCTCTTCCCGGATTCGAACCTCCGACCTTTCGGTCTTCAGTCCTGCCGGCACAAGGGTTTAACCCACTGCACCACCGGGAGCTCCTAGCACACAGATACCTGCATGTATGCATGCAAACACATAATTACATAGGAAATTGAAGTTCCATGTCTGTATTAAAAACTCGGAATCTAGAGACCGAAGCATGCTCACTGGCATTCATATTCACTACCAAATCATGGCAACAGATGATGAGAGATATCTAACACTTTCATATTTTCTACGTAAAAAACATTCAAAACAGTGGTAACTGGTGACTTTCATGTAAGGCAGTGATTCCCAGCTGATTCATAGCCCTTTTGGAGCTAACATTGGAGAGAGTGGTCCCTGATCAAAGTGGTCCCTGGTCAATGGTCAAAAAAAGGCTAGGAACCACTGATGTAAAGGGAATAGTGAACCTACTCCAGGGTTAGCCTGAATACAAACTGATCAAGGTTGCTGAATACTGTTTCCAAAAAAGTTTCATTAACTTTGACAATGCCTTTAAATTTCAAACCAAAGCTAGAATGGATTCACCATCTCACTCACATGACAGCCACTAGTACATCTTGTGGATTAGTGATGAATAACACAAGGGTAAATTAGATAGATCCTTACAGTTATTTATTTCACTTTCAGCGTGTTTCTACCATGTTTTCCTTTTCAGAAAAAATAAAAGGGATATAAACTGGGTTGGCCTTACAGACTGATAGGCTGTACTTCTCACTGGTCTGATCCATCACAGTTAAATGTGAGATATATAATATGTGAGATATATAATGGAAAATCCAGTTCAATCATATCTAGAGATTAATCCTTGTTTAATTTTTTTAATGTGTACAGTGATCCAGCGGTTTTTTATATTTACAATTCCAGTGGTTTAAATGAATATTGAATGCATCTCATTGCAGAGTCAACGTTTTGGGAAGTGATTATTGGTTTCTTAGAGGAAAACCTAGTTAAAGGGACCTGCCCTGAGTCCTCTCGGGAAGGTAGGGTAGATTATAAATTAAGCTGCTGCTGCTGTTGTTATTTTGTTTGGTGTTAACTACAGTTAAAAGCAGCCATAAGAATACTTAAATGACAATGAGGAGGAAGAGAAATTTGCCTTTGGAAAAGGTTAAGCATTAGGTTAATGAATTTGCCTTCTGTTTCCCACTTCACTGCATACGCTTTCACTGAAGCTCAGTGGGCTCTTTTTGTTCTAGAAGCCAGGTCTGACAGAATGCTTTGAACTAGTGACTTTTAAAGACATTTTTAATCTAACCATATGTTTTTTGGAAACAGTTTTTTTGCTGGAAAATGTTCCAGGGTTGCTGGAGGCTTTCAGTAACCTGGCTCAAAGAAATGCCTGTGTGATGTGGCTGTTCTGATGATATTAGCTACCTAAATCAAAGAAAGTTGAGCTAATTAATCCTTGCTTAGCCCCAGCTATGATCTAGCTCTTGGAGGGTGAAGCAGAGTGCAACATACAAGGTAGAGAACTTGCTTTTATTCTTGGAATTGAGAACACAGGCCCTATATCTCAGGATCTGACCCAAAGTTTTCAGTTTATCCCAGATTATCTGCCAGTGTGGACTCATACAGTTTAAAGCAGAAAACCTGGGATCAGATCCTGAGATATATGGCCTGTCTAGAAGGGCCCTTAGAATGAGGCCACTGGTAAAATAAAACCCAACATGTTCATTTCATGCAAATTCATTTCTGCCCATTTTAATATATGTGGCTGCATCAGTTAAGTATTTAGATATTTCTAACTGATTGTATATTATGGCATCTCACAGCAGCGTACAAATAAGCAATGTAACTATTTACATATTTTAGAACAAAAACAATGTACATTCATAACAATATTAAAACAAGTTAAGAAGAAAAATAGATTTTTGTAACTTGATGCCGGAATGAGGTCAATGTTGAAGCCAATTGGGTTTCCAAAGGAAGAGCCTTCCACAAACAGTGTGTAACTGAGAAGGCTCTACCATGATTTCTCCCAGGGTTTCTCCCACTGATAGGAGAGACAAAGGGCCCATAGCATATCTCTGGGAGGCAGAGAGAGAAAGAGATGTTGATTCAAATATGGGCATCCTAAGTCATTTAGAACTTTGAACACAATCACCAGCAGTTTACAATTAGACCAGATTAGTAGCAAGTACAATTCCTTCAAAATCAGTTTTCTGTGGGTTTTTAAAATTATTTATTTGGATTAACACAATCTAATTTACAATCAAAGTAATATGAATTAAGGTAAAAATAAGCAAAAAGAAAGAAATATTAAAATCTATCAGTTTGACCCAAAACCTTCCTTTGACTTATTGGGTCAACTTATACATGTGTATATATGATAGTAACCATAGCTGGCTTATTACATTGTTAGATTTCTTATTCCTCAAAAAGTCCATAAATGGGTTCCAATATTTTTTTAAAAAAAACTGTTGGGTTTATTCTTTAAAACCCACATTATTTTTTATTATGAATTATATGTGATAACTCAAGGTCAGCAGTGGGACTCTGGTCAGGATATTCACTGCTGTGTTTCGAACTAGTGAGTTGTGATGCTGAAATACAATAGGAAGCCCAAATTTGCATGAATGCTGCTCCATTTATACAAACACTTAAAAACAAAAAAGTTGTCTTCTTTTTATGTACTCATGCAAGTAGCGGTTTTTGTTGAACACTTACTGTAACATCCTGAAACTGTAGCCTTGTCGCAGTCCCTGCTGGTTGAGGGCGGCTTGTGATCTCCAGGATGGTCCTCAGCAGCACATCTAGCAAACTATTGACTATGACATCTATTTCTTCCAAAATTGACTTTTCCTTTGATTTATTGATTAGGAAGAAGAAAGGGGGTGTTCATGTTGGTATTAAAAAGAAGCAAAATAATGTTTACATCAATCCAATTATAGCCAACTGAATTGTTTGTCTTATTTCAGGAACATGTTAAACATTTTATTATGGCAGAGTTTCTCAAACTGTGCTTCTTCAGATGTTTTGGACTTCCCATTCCACAGTTCCTAACAACTGGTAAACTGGCTGGGATTTCTGGGAGCTGAAGTCCAAAACACCTGGAGGACACGATTTGAGAAACATTGCATTATGGATTTACTGATTGCTGAAATATACTCTAACAAAAAGCTGCAAAGCCATTCTCTGGACCTTGATTATTGTCCCATTCTGAATTAACTACCTGGTATTTAAGAAAAATATTAAAAAGAAACAAACAGGTAGATGTTTCTCATAATTGCCCACAATGAAATACCTTTTGAAGACTTTAGTGTGGATGCAATGGTTTAAATCCAACTGGTTGTCCTAACTATATAGAAAGTCCACTGAATCAACACATATTGACTTCATATTTAGCAACTGCTTCATAGGAGATTTTAGTTGAGACTAGGAAATGGATTTTAACCAATGCATTCATGCACATAGTAGGACAGACTCCACCCCAACATATGCTTGTACATCTGAAGGATTCTCCTGCAGATGCAGCTGTCCTAAGGAAAATGTCTCTCTGAAGCAGGCTGTTTCCACAAGATGTTTTTCATATATTCATTGCACTTACTTAGAATGTCTGAGGAATGCTAGAGCTTCAGGAAATCAACATTGTAGTTATAATTCCCAGAACCCACTAGCTGGAGACATTCTAAGAGCTGAGGTTCCCAAAAACTTAACATAAGGTGATATTTTATGAGCTAGGTTTCAAAGGCAAAATGCAATTAATGTTTATGAGGAGTACAAAGATAATATAGCACACAGACACACAACACAGTAGCAAAGCCAGGAGAACATTTAGGTCCATACAAAATGAGAAAAAGCTGGTCTTCATTTATGAGAGCTAGCCAGAAAACCACTGACAGACAGCTTATATTTTGCAAGCACGTATATTCTGCCTTACACTCACTAATTTCTCTTTTCGTCCTCTTTGTGGATTGTTAAAGCGAGCGAAAGGGAATGCCCCATGAGGTGAGGCTTGTCCATTTTCAGACTGGTTTCTACAAGTTCTTTCTCCTTCACATCCACGGGGGTATAGCTACAAGGAGGGGGCAAAAGTGAAGGCATTGCTTCCCCAAAGAAGAATTGAATTTTTCCTTTACTCCCCAAACATTTATCATCATAAACATCTAGATAATCATTTACTGTGTTTGCATTCCCTTGGTTACTTTGCTTGCCTTTTTCTTGGCATGCCTAAACTGCATTTAGAAATGTTCAACTGACACTTTAAGTTACTGCAATGCTAGAATTTCATGGTTACAATTATTATGGGGGGGAGGGGTCTTCTTTTTGTTCCCTTCCCCAATAGCTGTGCCCTTGAATCCAATGCTACTAAGTATATCTAGGAAGAAGCCCAATTTTGATGTATTGTCAAAGGCTTTCATGGCTGGAATCACTGGGTTGTTGTAGGTTTTTCGGGCTACATGTCCATTTTCTAGAAGCATTCTCTCCTGACATTTTGCCTGCATCTATGGCAGGCATCCTCAGAGGTTGTGAGGTCTATTCGAAACTAGGAAAATTGGGTTTACATATCTGTGGAATGCGTAGGGTGGGAGAAAGAACTCTTGTCTGTTGGAGGTCAGTGTGAATGTTTCAATTGGCCACTTTGGTTAGCATTTGATGCCCTGACAGTTTTTAGTTATAGCTTGTTAGTCACTGGGGTAATACTTTGAGAGGTGATTAGCTGCCCCTGATTGTTTCTTGTCTGGAATTCCCCTGTGTTTGAGTGTTGTTCTTTATTTGCTGCTATAATTTTAGAGTTTTTTAATACTGGTAGCCAGATATTGTTCATTTTCATGGTTTCTTCCTTTCTGTTGTAATTGTTCACAAGCTTCTGGATTTCAATATAAACCCAATTTTCCTAGTTTCAAACAGACCTCACAACCTCTGAGGGTGCCTGCCATAGATGCATGCAAATATCAGGAGATAACGCTTCTAGAACATGGCCATATAGCCCAAAAAACCTACAACAACCAAGCCCAATTTTCTATTTAATACGTACCGTGGCTTTCTGTGTCGGCTGCTGACGCAATCTATTATTATTACTATCATAATCATCATCTAGCAGCCAAGACTTTTAGCAATAACACATCTGAGAATATCAGATATGTTATTTCTTTATTATTTTCAATATACAGAAGAATCCACACTGCTTCCTGAAAGCAAACTAAAATATAAGTAGGAGAAAATCTAAGTAATTTCTGCATACTTTTAATAGAGAGGAGCATTTTAAAAGGCATTCTTAAACCACACATTTTTATTTAGTAGAAATTCAGCTACAGAGTGGAACATTAAAACATTCCCTCCACAGACGATTTGGAATGCATTTTCTCATAAGGATCACCTTCAAGTGTCAGCCAGGAAGTAGATTTTCAGCCAAGAAGGGTGGGAGGACAAGAACATGAGGAACATGTTCTTCACAGAGGCCCTGCATAACTGCTTTTTCTTCGAAAGCAATGGCAAATTTAATCACACTTTCTGAAAAGTATGAGTTATCTACAGGTTTACTTGGTCTCTAGAGACAGGTAAAATGAACTAAGCAACAGGAGCAGAATAGGTTATAAAAAGGGGGGGGGATTAAGGGAGACCAAATTAGCAATCTTCAAACTACTCAAGAGCAGAAGGAGGAAGATAGTTGCTTTCTCTGGCTATAAAAGGTAGGGATAGAACCAATGGGTATTAAGTATAAGCACTTTAAGACCTCATCAGACAGACTTCTGGTTCCGTTTCCATGCATTGGGGAAACTGAGCCCCACGAAAGTCCCAAGAATGCCATCACATGATGTAAGGGCACTTCTGGTGAGACTCCATGGGGCTCTGTTTGTGCGGCACATGGAAACAGAGCCAGAAGTTAGTTTTCAGGAGTCTGGTGTTATCTAACTCCAAACCTGAGAAAGTGGAGAGAAGTGGATAAAATATGGGGAAATGACATGGGATGGGTGGCCATCCCAGAAGACAGGAAAAGACAGTAGGAAATGGGGAATGACAGTAAGGAACGTGGTAAGATGGTTCCTTTCTATTCCCCGCTTTCTCCCACCTGCCTGATGAAATCCTTGGTCAAATGTTGGAAGAAACTAACTTCTTAAATGTAAAGCCACTCATCCTTGAACACCAGACTGGCTTGGGAGACAGTAAGTTCTACTTCTCTGGAAGAACTTAAGCGAAGGGCACACAGCCATGTCTATGGGATTTTGTACTCACATCATTTACTGAAGATTCTGCAGAAGGTGAACCTCAAACTCCGTTTCAAATCTATGACTGCTAGTGAAACTGCAAAACTAACTCAAGCTGTAGCAGTTCAAGAACTCTCTGCACATTTGTCTACCTCCCATTTTCCCCCCCTGAAAATGTATCTCTCTCCCTAAAGATCTCAGATCTGACCAACTCAAATTATTTTCACTGGGTCATAAAAATGAGCTTGTCCATTTTTTAAAACAAAAACTGCACATAATGATCTCCCTTCTTTTAAAATCTGTTCCTTTTCTATGTGCAACATTCAAAATGCATGAAAAAATAATTTCTGTTTTAAACACTTGTGAAATCTTAGCCCAATAGAAAAAAAGGAATACAGGAGTTGGAAGATACAACATTTGAAGAAGTAATGGGGAAGGGGGTGGCAACTCTCAGAATTCCCCAACACTCTTCATGGTGCCTGAAGGATTTGGGGAGTGCTACTTTTTAAAGTAATTTCAAATTCTTTTAATGGGAAATACACTGCAAATACACTCCAGCAAAGGATCACCGCCTTGTCGGGGCGCTGGAGCTTGAGCACCTCAATGATGTCATGAGCGAAACCGTGAAGGGACACCCAAGACGGGACGGTTGTGGCAGAGAGGTCAGACCAAGCGTGATCCCTGGGAAGGCAATGGCAAACCACTCCAGTATCCTTGCCAAGAAAACTAAATGGACCAGTACAACCAGAGATATGTCGGTATGCCATTGGAAGATGGGACTCCCAGGTCGGAAGATGGCCAAAATGCTACTGGGGAGGAGCAGAGGATAAGTTCAACTAGCCCCAGATGTGATGACGCAGCTAGCTCAAAGCCGAAAGGAAGGCTAGCGGCCGAGGGTACTGGAGGTGAACGACGAATCCGATGCTCTAAAGATCAACACACCATAGGAACCTGGAATGTAAGATCTATGAGCCAGGGCACATTGGATGTTGTTATTGGTGAGATGTCAAGACTAAAGATAGACATTCTGGGGGTCAGCGAACTGAAATGGACTGGAATGGGCCACTTCACATCAGATGACCACCAGATCTACTACTGCGGACAAGAGGAACATCGAAGAAATGGAGTAGCCTTCATAATTAATAAGAAATTCGCTAAAGCGGTGCTTGGATACAACCCAAAAAATGAGAGAATGATCTCAATTCGAGTGCAAGGAAAGCCTTTCAACATTACAGTGATCCAAATATACGCCCCAACCACAGCTGCTGAAGAAGCAGAAGTAGATCAGTTCTATGAGGATCTGCAGGACCTACTGGATAATACACCAAAAAGAGACATTATTTTCATTACAGGATACTGGAATGCCAAGGTGGGAAGTCAAATGACAACTGGGATCACAGGCAAGCATGGTCTGGGAGAACAAAATGAAGCGGGACGCAGGCTGATAGAATTTTGCCAGGAAAACTCGCTGTGTATAACGAATACTCTCTTCCAACAACCTAAAAGACTGCTTTATACATGGACCTCACCAGATGGTCAACACCGAAATCAGATTGACTACATCCTTTGCAGCCAAAGGTGGCGGACATCCATCCAGTCGGTGAAAACAAGACCTGGGGCTGACTGTAGCTCAGATCACGAACTTCTTATTGCCCAATTTAGAATAAAACTAAAGAGATCAGGGAAAATACACAGACCAGTTAGATATGATCTCACTAACATTCCTAGCGAATATACAGTGGAAGTGAAGAACAGATTTGAAGGACTAGATTTAGTAAACAGAGTCCCAGAAGAACTATGAACAGAAATCCGAGACATTGTTCAGGAGGCGGCAACAAAGTACGTCCCAAAGAAAAAGAAAACCAAGACGGCAAAATGGTTGTCTGCTGAGACACTGGAAGTAGCCCAAGAAAGGAGGAAAGCAAAAGGAAACAGGGATAAGGGGAGATATGCCCAGTTAAATGCGCAATTCCAGAGGTTAGCCAGAAGAGATAAGGAACTATTTTTAAATAAGCAATGCATGGAAGGAAGAAGACAACAGAATAGGAAGGACAAGAGACCTCTTCCAGAAAATTAGAAACATTGGAGGTAAATTTCAGGCAAAAATTGGTATGATAAGAAACAAAGATGGCAGGGACCTAACAGAAGCTGAAGAGATCAAGAGAAGGTGGCGAGACTATACAGAAGATCTGTATAGGAAGGATAATAATAGTGAGGATAGTTTTGACGGTGTGGTGAATGAATTAGAACCAGACATCCTGAGGAGTGAGGTTGAATGGGCCTTAAGAAGCATTGCTAACAACAAGGCAGCAGGAGACGACGGGATCCCAGCTGAACTGTTTAAAATCTTAAAAAGATGATGCTGTCAAGGTGATGCATGCCATATGCCAGCAAATATGGAAAACACAAGAATGGCCATCAGACTGAAAAAATCAACTTATATCCCCATACCAAAAAAGGGAAATGCGAAAGACTGCTCAAACTTCCGTACAGTGGCCCTTATTTCTCATGCCAGTAAGGTAATGCTCAAGATCCTGCAAAGAAGACTCCAGCAATACATGGAGCGAGAGTTGCCAGATGTTCAAGCTGGGTTTAGAAAAGGCAGAGGAACGAGAGACCAGATTGCCAATATCCGCTGGATAATGGAGAAAGGCAGGGAGTTTCAGAAAAACATCTACTTCTGCTTCATTGACTATTCTAAAGCCTTTGACTGTGTGGATCATAATAAATTGTGGCAAGTTCTTAGTGGGATGGGCATTCCAAGCCACCTTGTCTCTCTCCTGAGGAATCTGTACAAGGACCAAGTAGCAACAGTCAGAACTGACCATGGAACAACAGACTGGTTCAAGATTGGGAAAGGCGTACGGCAAGGCTGCATACTCTCACCCAACCTTTTTAACTTGTATGCAGAACACATCATGCGATGTGCGGGGCTTGATGAATGCAAAGCTGGGTGAAAATTGCTGGAAGAAACATTAACAACCTCAGATATGCAGATGACACCACCCTGATGGCCGAAAGCGAGGAGGAGCTGAGGAGCCTTCTAATCAAGGTGAAAGAAGAAAGCGCAAAAGCCGGGTTGCAGCTAAACGTCAAAAAAACCCAAGATTATGGCAACAAGAATGATTGACAACTGGAAAATAGAGGGAGAACGTGGAGGCCGTGACAGACTGTATTTCTAGGTGCAAAGATTACTGCAGATGCAGACTGTGGCCAGGAAATCAGAAGACGCTTACTTCTTGGGAGGAGAGCAATGTCCAATCTCGATAAAATAGTAAAGAGTAGAGACATCACACTGGCAACAAAGATCCGCCTAGTCAAAGCCATGGTATTCCCTGTAGTAACCTACGGATGTGAGAGCTGGACCTTAGGGAAGGCTGAGCGAAGAAAGATCGATGCTTTTGAGCTGTGGTGTTGGAGGAAAGTTCTGAGAGTGCCTTGGACTGCGAGAAGATCCAACCAGTCCATCCTCCAGGAAATAAAGCCCGACTGCTCATTGGAGGGAAGGAGATACTAGAGACAAAGTTGAAGTACTTTGGCCACATCATGAGGAGACAGCAAAGCCTAGAGAAGACAATTATGCTGGGGAAAGTGGAAGGAAAAAGGAAGAGGGGCCGACCAAGGGCAAGATGGATGGGTGGCATCCTTGAAGTGACTGGACTGACCTTGAGGGAGCTGGGGGTGGTAACGGCCGACAGGGAGCTCTGGCGTGGGCTGGTCCATGAGGTCACGAAGAGTCGGAGACGACTGAACGAATGAACAACAACAACACTGCAAATAGGGAGGTCAAAATAAGGATCCTGTCTCCACAAATTACATTTTTCTTCAGTCTTCAATTTTCTAGCACAGCATAGAGCGAAAACTAGCAAATAGTGTGCATAACTGTTACCAGGAATGCATTTTGGCATTGTAGAAAGTGAAACACTGAAAATCATTTGCACCTAGAAATTTCATATTTGCTGCCTTTGCACTCCTTTGGTAATCTTGCCTGTTCCTTTTCTTTGAATGCCTAAACAGTATTTCTAAATGATTTTAGAAGTTTTAAATTACTGTAATTCTAGAAATTTGGGGACATATGGAAAATTTTGAAGGGGGAGATTGTATTACTCTCATTTTGCTTTCCCCTCAGTAGCTACATCACTTCATTTTCTTTCCAGACACATTATTAGGCTTCTACTTACAGAACTGTTTTTCTTTATGAAGCAAAATATGTTGCTAAGGATGCGTGCGCACATGATCAGGTCCTTCTGCTCTTGCAGATGCACATAGAGGTGATGCAAAACTACAGGCAGCAGGATATATCTGGACTCTGTAAACAAAAAATAATAATATGAACACTCTTCTTTTGTCATATTTTTCCTCTCCAGTCATTTAAAGTAATTAACAGAACAATTTATTCACACTGTCCTTCCATAGTAAAGAACACTGCAGAGACCGTTCAGGGCCAGTTCTATCATCAGGCAAACTAAAACAGCCATGTCAAACCGATTTTCAGGTATCATGGCAGGGCAGCAAATTACTAGTTGTTTACTTTGTTGTTAGAGTGCTTTTAATTGCAGAAGAGAAGTGGAAATACTTGTAGGAGTTTCTGGATCATATCCTGAAATATATTATCTGTCTTTAAGTGTTGTGTTATGTACATTAGTTTAGGTTGTCCAAAACTAGGTAAAATATGGTACGCTGTAACAACGGAAAATGGAAACCAGGTGACTTCAACATCACCATTTATGAAACTGACTTTTTTTCACTTGTCAGCAGAAATCAACCATACTTTAGACGACAAGCTGAACTACAACTGATCTAATGTATTAGCAAGACCTTCGTATCTCCTCCTGAAAGCCATACCATATGATCCCAGGGAGAAACTATGCTCATTCTTGTAACACCATGTGCAAAATAGTTCTCCCCCTTACTATAGAATGGATGGGGAAGAGTGTGGTTTTGGGGAGAAGGTGGGGCTTCCAGATGAAGAGTTCCTTCTGCTAGCATCCAGAAGGCAGATATTCATTCCATTTTTCAAAATTAAAATATAATGGTTGCAAAATGAAGTCAACACTTTTCAGACCTCTGATAAAATTCTATGAGTTAGACCTGCTTGCTCAATAAAGTTTTTTTCTATAAGCACACAGAGAACAAAATTTATATGCCGAAAGATGGGGGACATGTGACTTCTAGGTGCTTGCTACCACTGGTTAAAGTAACACGTGTTGCACTTTCACAACATCAGTAAGACCACACATTGCCACTCCTTCTCTGGGCCCATTAACACTACAGAATTGTAGTGCTATGATTCCACTTTAACTGCCATAATTCCATCCTATGGATTCCTGGGATTGGCAGTTTAGGGAAAAGCATACAGATTCCTCAGCCATAGAGCTCTAGAGAGGTGGTTCCCCAAATTTTCTGATATAGAACCCTTCAGAAGACTCCCCGGTCCTGTGGAAAACATTGGAAAAGCCTGATTTCCATCTACAGAACTATAAATGGATGTGAAGGGGAGCATTGGTCAAATAGCCTTTCTGGCTACTGATGGCTATATATCTATCAGGCATACCTAAAAGTCATTCAGAGGCACAGATTCAAATTTCATTTTTAAATTAGAAGTACATGGAGCCTCACTAAGATCTTCATAATTTGGCATGGATGTTTCAAAAAGATTTTATGAAAAGATGCTTAAGATTTTGTGTGGAACCCCTATGATGCTTTTGGGAAACCTTAGGATTTTGTGGAACACAGTTTGGGAATGGCTTCTCTAGAGCCTGACCAGCCTACAAATCCCAAAATTCCATAGAATGAAGACATGACAATTAAAGTAAAAAAATGGTGGACGAGGAAAACATTCTGTGGATGTGATTTCAGTATATTAGAAACACCATGAGATTTAGTATTAGTCACTTTAGCATAAAACTTTTTCAGAATCCCCCAAAGGAATACTATATCTGGACTAAAGTAATGAAGACTTAAGCAGGTATCATAAAATGATCTACAGCCATACAAACTCAGCTTACTGCTGGAGGTGGCATTAAATCCCACCCCCAGCAACACTACATGTCTCTGCTTTTGTATCACAAAACATGAAACCCCTTCAGTGTCATACAAATGCTATTAGCAGGTAAACCTGGCTTTGGAACAGAAAGTTATTTGTCACAGAAAGCTTCTTTTGTCTTAGAAGTTTGAAACAATCTACGTTCTCAGCCTACGAATCCTTCCCTTGCCATGCTGTTTTTCTATATTCAATAGCAAACCATGTTATAATATTCAGAAGTGTTCCTTTTCGCCCTCTGAGACAGGGGAGTTTAATTACATTTCACATCACAATGAGTATCAGCTTTACCCCAGGATATCATGCTTTATTTTTCCAGACCAAAATATTTTAGTGCTTTCCTTAAGTTTTTATAAGGCCAGGGTGGGAAGAAATGAGAAAGGCATTCTTTTCCAGTTGGGGATAATGGAGAGTAAACTTTAAAAATTGAGAGGGAGAATAACAAATCAGATCAATCAGTGGTTCCCAAACTTTTTTTAGTCATGACCCTATTTAATAGAGGCAAAGTGAACTGCGAACCCGATACATTAAATATAGGCTCAATAATAATAATAACTTTATTCTTATATCCCGCCACCATTCTCCCTGAAGGCACTCGGGGCAGCTTACAGACAGCACAAAGTACCTAAAAACAAACATCAAAATGAAGCACAATGTAAAATGAAATAAAATAAAACATCTACACATATAAAAACTCAGGCTCAATAAAAGAAATAATCAGCTTTTTAATAAATGAAAACACATCAAAAATAGATTTTTCAGTATAATATATGTAAATAAATCTCTGTGCAGAATGTGATGTGTGATTTTTCTTCACTTCACAAATTTTTTTCATAGCTCACCATTTCCTGGCAACCCCACAAAAAGCCTTGAAGACCCCGTTGGGGGTTACGACCCATGAGTTGGGAACCACTGAGATAAATATTCTCTCTCCCCCCCCCTTCTCTCTCTCTCTCTCTCTCGAAAGAAAGAAAGAAAGAAAGAAAGAAAGAAAGAAAGAAATGCAACAGTATTTTCTTGAACAATGTGAAACAAAAGGAATGTCGTCCATGGAACTGAGAGTTAGTCCTTCAAATTCACTAATTTATATGACTGAAGTAAACAATGAAGAAATTGAGATAGTAAAAGATTTCTTATACCTTGGCTCAGATATTAATCAAAATGGAGATTGCAGTCAAGGAATGAGAAGAAGACTAGGAACTGGAACAGCAGCTATGAATGAACTAAACAACATACTGAATCATTGAATATCAAAGTATGGATTGGTCTTGCCAGAGTATTTCCAATTTTTATGTATATTTGTGAAAGCTGTACAGTGATAGGAATAAATTAAGCTCTTTATGCATGTAATGTCTAAAGGAGCTGGTAGATCTCCTTTCTTCATGCTGTTTTAGCTTAAGAGTTTTTGCCCTTCCTACCTGGATTGGTGTACAGTTCGCTTTCAACTGTCTTTCCAATGCACTGGAGTTTCACAGCTTGAAGGGATTCATCTGAATTTGTGATAGTTGGCAAACTTCCTAGAGTATCACGAACCAAATTTGCCACCTCTCTCACATCAAAAAGCTTCAATAACTCTGAGTATACAGCTGGGAAGGAATTCAGAAAGACCACCTAAGAAAGCAAGGAGGAGGAGAAATAATGTGTTATGAACCTCAAAGTGGCAAGGATATGGGATAGGAAACAAATATGCATGGGATGGAGAATGGGACCATATCCAAAGATGTTCTTAGTTTGTTTATTTTATTGGAATAACCCAACTTTGGAGATTTCTCTTTTTCCCCGTTTTTCTTTTTAATGAAAGTGGTTCTAAATTCCATTATTGCTAATTAGCTAGTTTTGAAAGGGAACAGAAATATAAAATGATCATGGTTAAGAGGAATGGAGACTATATTTTTTTAAGCTAATGGAAGTATAATAGAGTGGAAGACAAGCAATATTCTTGGAAAACACTGAGGAACAAAATGAACTCATAGCTCTGTAAGCCTGGCCAAAAGCTTGACAGTGCTTGATTACTGCCAGACGTCTAATCCAACTTCTGTCATCAGCAAATTGACAGAATAAGATGACAGTAAATTATGTCATTACAGCTAAAAGCAAACCAGCAGTATTAATTTATCATATTAGAAGCAAATCTATCTATGTCTACACACACACACACACACACACACACACACGTAATATCGGCCAAGTAACACCAGAATGATAAAGCAACAACTTGAAAAAACTTACTTGGGCCTGAGATAAAGCACTAGTCCCTTTGGTTTCTTGGGAAAGGAAGAATCGCACAGACATTAGCAGCTCTTGGATACAACAGCAGAATTCCTCCTCGTTTTGTCCACCAGTAGCAAGTGAGAACAGCTTCCGAGACTGGACTATATACTTAAATATATATTCTTGTGCCTATGAATGTCAAAACATACATACAGCAAATGTCATTATTACTTTTTAAAGCAAACTATTTTTCCAGATCAACCAAAATGTTCAGTATTGTGAGCAAAAGTAAGAGAGAGAATGAAATGGTGCATATCAGAAAGAAACAATGCTTTACTTTCAGTCTTCCAAAAATGAAAACTACTATGGGACAATAATTGTGACCTCTAAAAATGAACACATCTATTGCTAAAAGGGATCTCTTATTGCTGTGGTCAGCAATTACTCACTCAATAGATACATGTTTAATTATGATCCCATACTTGTGCAATATTTTTCACATAATTATGCAATTTGACCATACTAATGGGCCTTACTAAGGCCAAAGAAAGATTCAACTGTTAGTCCTGTCAGTTTCTGTTTCTAGAATGGTGTGTTCGTGAAGATGAATATTGTTTTTTAACTCAGACAAAAATAAAACTTGGGATAGTCCTCAGTGTGCACATAGGGCCAAGTCCTTAGTTTTAGATGCATCAATTTAGATCTGCAGGAGGCATTTCCACATCCATATTCAGTGAAGTTACTCTCTGTGCAGCTGCAGTCTCAAATCTCTTCTAAAACTGATTCTAGAGAGCACCTCAAAATTAAGAGTGTTTTGGAGGTGGTCTGTCAGGAGGGAAGTGAGAAAGTATTTTCACATGAGAAGATGCAACATTACAGTAATCCAGGTGGGATGTAACTAAATATTGTTCATGTTATCGAATGCTCACTACAGTGCAATTGCGCAGAGATCTGAAAATTGCCTTTAATGGATGGTGACTCACTCTGCATTTTTTGTTCCATTCATGCTACCATCTTCTAGCATGAGGTAATATTTGGATAGAAATATTCTTGGAAACCTCAACCTGATACTTTCCACAAGTGCGGGACTACATTAGTGTCCATGCAGGGATCAGCAAAGTTGTACTAAAACACATCTAAACAGGACCACATTACAGAAGACTGAGTAAGATGATAGTACAATAGATAGAAATAGTAGATCCAATGAATAAAGATGTAATGTATAAGTTACCACTTACATATTTCCCACTGATTTCCAAAAGTCTAGTTTTGATTAAACTAACCCTTGGGTTAACACATTTCGCCTTTGGCATACCTTTGGAACATTTTGAAGCCTATGCTTTTTAATAACATTTATATGCATTTTAATATATACATTTTCAGTATAAAATATTTTCTGTATAATTTTCAAAATGTATACATGCCTTACATGCACTGTTTCAAACATTCAAGTTTTGTGAACTACAGGGTGTTTCAAAAAGATGGACCTGATTTGAAATTGCTACATCTCTACAACCATGAATAGAGTCTCAAACTATTACTGTTAGATGCCTCACCTAGTGCACCAACAGCCCCTGGCATCAGTCATTTGGAAGATGGTGACCCTGCAATATAAGGCCTGATGAGACATTTGTGGAGTTATTTTTAGATTCATGTCTCACTCAAAATGGTTAGTAAAACTTAATAACTCATTAAACAATTTCTGTGCAATTCTAACATGTTGCCATCATGTAATATACTGCTTTGAAATTATGTGCATCATTTTGAAACACCCTGTACATTGCTGACTAAAAAGGGCTAGTTTACGTAGTCCATGTTTATATTCAGAAAGTGTGAATTTTGAAAGATTCCACTGGAATCAAAACTGAATTAATTTCTCATCCCTAGTTACCTTTAATACTTCCTGGTTGTGTGTTTGTCTTTCCAGTTCCGTTATTCGATCTACATGCCACTTCAACACCTTTATGAGGTCTCTAGAATATAAAATGAAACTTACTTCCAAGCTGAACTGTTGAACGCAATGCATAAAATCATGAAGCACACGCTCGATTACAAACATCTAATTTTTAGTGTTGCTTTACATATTTATGTTATTGTATGTACGAATCACTTCTCTTCTCAACATATGCATGAAACTATGAAAAATAAAATAAAATAAAACTATGAAAAAAATAACAAAATGAAATTAAAGCAAAACTCAAAAAGTAATGCCATTTGATTCCGAACATCAAATGGCATTACATTTAAATCAGTAAATGCTCAACAGAAAGTATAGTTATTTTAGTAACTGTCTAAAACAGTGCTTCTCAACCTGTGGGTCCCAGGTGTTTTGGCCTACAACTCCCAGAAATCCCAGTCAGTTTATCAGCTGTTAGGATTTCTGGGAGTTGATGGCCAAAACATTTGGGGACCCACAGGTTGAGAACCACTGATCTAAAAGATAGCAAAGGAATCAACCAAACCTGACTTAGAGAAGTGTTTCATAAACAGAACTAATACATAGAATGGACAATTTTGAATATCAACTTCTTTTAGTATGTCATGTAATGTGGCATCTTGACTTAATGTATACAGTCCCAGACTCCTTTTGGTATTACTATGTAACTAGCTCTTTTCCTTCAAAGAATGAATGTAAGTGGGAATTAATTTAAGCAATGTACATGAAGATAAACAAATCTCTTTCCAAGGTTTAAGACATGTAGGGTAACTGGACTAAAGGAAAATTTCGCATACAAGGGTTCTTGACAATCTAATTATATTATTATTATCTCTATGCCTCAAAAGTTATGATCTTTTAAAACTATGTTTGTAAGCCACCTTAAGTCTCAAAGTGGGGGAAGAGGTAACTTATAAAGAAATATCGCCATCTCATCTTAATCTAGTTTAAAGATCACGTATAATCACTTCGCTTTAGGGGTAGATGCCTGTTTGACATGAAATGGCATTATGAGAACTGAGAGAAATCCTGATAGAACTTGTTCTCTTTTAGATTTTAGAATCCTGTGAGCCATACCAGAATTGCATATAATAGTTGGGCCGTTACCTTTGCTTAGGAAACATTTGTTGCAGCTGCGATACACTGGCCACCTTTTGTGTAGAAAAAGCGGGTTATTACTTTACTACTGGATAAAGCATTTTGTAATGCTATTTTTTGGTGACATCTCCAGGAACCTGAGGCCTGAAAGGTAACCTCTAGGTATTTAAAGCTGGAAACTTGTTGTATTAAGTTCTCTCCTATATACCAGTTATGCCTGGCTCACTTTTTGAGAAAATCATGATTTTGGTTTTACTATAGTTTATCTTTAGCTGGTTTTTCTCACAGATTGGTAGAGTACCCTCAGCACTTACTTGAGACATACCTTGGTGTAGGATATGAGGGCAGTATCATCTGCAGACAACAGTAGGGATATATTGGTGGATGAGATTTTAGGGGGATGTCAATTTGGTAGTGAAATGTGCAGCCAAATCATTCACGTATAGATTAAACAGAATAGGGGCCAGGATGCAGAACTGGGTTGACTGAAAAGTTTGTAGTGCTGTTTTACTCAAGGTAAAGAAATTAATTCTGATGGATGTGTTTGGCCTTCCTTCATTCATTTAAAGATCACCCATAACTGACCAAACCAAAGCTTTGTTGTTTATTCGTTAAGTCGCTTCCGACTCTTTATGACGTCATGGACCAGCCCATGTCAGAGTTCCCTGTCAGCCATCACCACCCCAGCTCCTTCATAGTCAAGCCAGTCACTTCAAGGATACTATCCATCCATCTTGCCCTTGGTAGGCCCCTCTTCCTTTTTCCTTCCATTTTCCCAGCATCATTGTCTTCTCTAAGCTCTCCTGTCTTCTCAAAGTGACTAAGATATATATACATATAGTTCTACCTGTATGCAAGTGCTCCTGCAAAGTGACTTTCAATGTAGGTGTCCATAACTGGTTTAAAATGATGGAATTTGCTGTCCTGCAGCAAGTTAATTATGTGAACCTAAGAATAACAAAAATATTAATGAATTCCATTTCCTTAATGTGTCAGCCATCAAAATTAAAATAAGACTACAAAGATTAATAATGTCTTACCAAACAATCAAATACTTGAGAGCCATACTTTTGAGAATTTTCATCTAAAATTCCAAATAAAGTGTCCAGTGTATCTTGAAGAAACTAGAAGAAATGAAAATTTAAGAAATACATTAGTCTACAAACATTCTTTGTTTTGCTGTTATAGGCAAAATAAAACAAAAGGTTAAAAAGATGTACCTTGACAATTTCTGATCCATCAATTTCCTTCAATTTGGAGAGACAGCCTGCAATTTTTTCTGGATGGGCTCGCCATTTGAGAAGGTCTAGCATGTCCCCTACATGGCAAACATTCAAGATGGCATAAATAGCACTTGGTTAAAAATATAACATTAATTTTAGAAAGAACGGGTGGACAATCCCTCAAAAGTGAAGTCACGTAACTGAAATACAGTATTGATTGACTTTATTTATATAAGCAGCCCACTACATTCATGGGGTGCAGGATCACATGTTCAAAAACCACTACTTGAAAGGAATTGATAACTGTCAGATTTGTTAAGATGTTCTCTCTCTCAAGGCCCTCCAGCACAATTCTATGGTCACCTTCTGTGTAGAGGACCAAGGTCCGAGAACCTTGGCTAAACAGTTCGACCCCCTGTCCATGGAGATATGTTCCAAAACACAGATACTATGGATGCCTGAAACCATGGAAAATAATGAACCTTATATTTTTACTATACTTGGGTCAGATGTGTACAACAGAACTACACTGGAAGATCTAGATCAGGCATGGGCAAACTTTGGCCCTCCAGGTGTTTTGGGCTTCATCTCCCACAATTGTCCAAACACCTGGAGGGCCAAAGTTTGCCCATGCCTGATCTAGAGAGACCCACAAATACTTTCAGGAGGGGGCAGTATTTTTTGGAGTATATGAGGTGAAAACATGGATATAAAATCCATGGATAAGGGAGTTATGCTTTACATTCTAACTTGCGAATAACTTCGATTGAACCCTTATGAAATTTACTTCTGAAAATGCATATATATATATATGTGTGTGTGTGTGTGTGTGTGTGTGTGTGTGTGAGGAACAACTTGGTATGAGAGCCCCGGTGGTGCAATGGATTTTAAACCCTTGTGCCAGCAGGACTGTTGATCAAAAGGTCAGTGGTTCAAATCCAGGAGCAGGGGTGAGTTCCCATCTGTTAGCTCTAGCTTCTCATGTGAGGACATGAGAGAAGCCTCCCACAGGTTGATAAAACATCCGAGCATCCCCTGGGCAACATCCTTGCAGATGGCCAATTCTCTCACACCAGAAGCGATGTGTAGGATTGTCTTTTGTTATTTTGTGCATTTGATTGTGACATAGGTATATTACGATGTAACTCCCAACACTGCAATAACAACAGTGCAATTAACTATTGATAACAGAGTATAAAATGTTAATTAAAACCCCTATTGTGTTACTGATTATTTTCTCTATATTAGAATTTGTTAGTGTTAATCTTACTCATTATCTCATTAGTAACACACTACTAACATATTGTTTTTAAGGCATTTTTATATTTAAAAGCCTTTTTAAATAGAAAACGGCCAATTATCTCCATAGCTAGTGTGTGTAACAATAACACCTAGAATGTGTCCCACAAAGTAGCATGTTGCTTTTTAACACCTTGTTTCTAAGGTCTGAGGACCATTCAGAAGACATCACAGTATCTTCACATCTATCTGAATATTTGTCTCTCACTAAACTAAGTTTTAAAATAAAACTACAAACAGATAACAATAAATAAGCAATTCTAATATTAGTGTCTGTATTTGTAATTGTGGTGGTTTGAGTCCTATGCACCAATAGTCTTACAAATTTCTTTCTCCGCTAGCTGATGAACCAATGGTTTGCATCTTGCTAAGGTTAATAACAGAACACCTTACACCACATCTTAATGTTAACAAGCCCAGCATTGCATTACTGTTGTTTACATTGATTTAATATCAACATGTTGTGTTACCATTCTGAGTGAGTTTTGTTGAGCACAGGAAAGACGTAATCCAGAAGGACTCCTTAGTGGTTTTTATTGCTTGGTGGTTGTTCGTAAGAAGATGTCCCTTTGTAAAGGGGAATTTGAGGTAGCGACTAGAATCCTGAAGACTTACATTTTCTTCACACTGGGAGAACAATTAAATTAAATATGCACTTTAACTCACTTCATAAAAATGAAATAAAATGAGGAATAAAACTGTCACGTAAAACTATGTTTCATTGGAAAGCAATAAAATCTGATAATTGCCTCTCTCCATTGGATTCTGTCAGTGTACTGTTCTGAATCTTTATTATTCTCTTTCAGACATACTGCCCCTAAGTGACCTCGAATCCAATGACTCTCAGTACATTTACACATTGAAAACAATCAATTCCTTATTCAATCCCCATCCAGTTCACGTGGTAAACTTCCACAATGACTTCACAATGCGACATAACTGATGTCTCACAACTGACCTCAAAAACTCCTTTCCATTACACTAATCCCCAAACCTTTGACTACAGCACCTAAATAGTAGTGCCATTAGATGATTTAATGGTTCTATCTCATATATTTGATGTATGCTGAACCAGCCCTGCTACTTTTTCTTTCTGTTGAGCGGGGTCATTTGTCACAAAGTCCTGCTTCAATATTCCCACTGGGTTTGTGCAATTTGGCTGGAGGGCGATCTGTTTGTGGTATCCAGATTTCATTGGGTACCGAGATCTGTTTTTGGGAGCCTCTCAAATATTGGCTAATGGAAAAATCTGTTTTTGGCCAGGTAGTCAAAAGATCCAGGAAGATTCAGCCCTTTGGCAGGAATGGGGAACTTTCAAGGCTCCCCTTTCTATTCCTGGGACCCTTTCCTATCTTCCTTTCAAGGGAGTCTAGGTTTGAAAAACAGGGTTAAGGAAGCAGTGCATAAGACACATCATGGTGTTCTTCTATTCAGGCAACACTCAAAGGGAAGTCCCATGCGAGCAGCACGTGGCAGCATCTCCGCGTGCCATGTGGTGCCAAATTGGGGGGGGGGGAGTCATGATCAGCTGGCATGTGATCCCGTTATGGACGAAAAAATGTGACTGTTGAGCCCTTACCATTACAACCATCTGACCAAGCCGAACAAGCCGGATTGGCAGAAGGGAACCGATCACTCTGAATCCGTGCATAAGCCTAATCCCCACTTTTATAGCCCAAATATAGTAAATTGCAATAATTACTTCTCTTAATTTCTGCCATCATTTCATTCCCCTTCTTCATTCTTCTCCCCTATCTTCAAACCTAGCATCAAAGTCACTACGACATGGACATTCATTCTTTGTTGAGCACCACATACATGGTGCTAAGTGCAAAATAAAACAGTGGTACAAGTGTTCTGAACTTTAAAAAAGAAACAGCAATAGATTTTAATGTTGCTTCTTCTATCACATGACTAGGAGATATAAACCCTTTGAAAGCATTTGAACCTAGCTTTTAAAGGAGTCTATATAGAGAGACTGACAACAAACTACAAAGCATATAGTCCAAAGAACAATACAATTTAAATGAATAAGCTACTAGCTGTCAGTCTATTTGTGAAAAAATCGTATTATTGTTTTCTTTATAAGTAATTTATTCTAGAACAAAAATATTTATACAAGTATTTCAATATTTAATGTCTAATACTAGGTTTGTAGGGAAGCTTTAAAATGCATTTTTCAGGTTATGCTTAAACACAATTTAGTCCTGTGACAAATTTACAACTTTTTGCATTGTGAAGCTGAAGCTTTGGGTGATCTCTCTTGCTGTTAACATATGTCCCTAAATATTTTTATTTTACTTCAACAATATGCTCAAAACACATGATAAGGGAAGTGACATGCATGCTTTCAGTTTAAAACCCCTTCAGACATCTTAAATACTGAGGTCAGGTCCAGCCTAAAACATTCTGTAACCCCTTTTAATGAAGGGAGAATACAATCACCTTTCATGTAATTTATTTAACTAATAAAAGGAGACCTTATATAATAGAATTTCATTTTATATACCTTTTAAAATTTGATAGTGATTTAAAAGGGGGAGGGGTTGAGAGAAAGAGAAAAGAGAGAGAGAGGTGAAGTAAGGATTTGCTTGCCCTCCCAGCTGAGTGTCTAGATACAGCCTGTTAGCAAAAGATGGGAATGAAGCGTAAGGAAAATTATTCACAGCCAAGATATGGCATTGAAAAACAAGAATGGAGAATCAACAACATAAGCTTGAAAGGACATAATGAAAGGCTATTTTACACAATAACAAGTATAGTATTCTTCTGGGAGCTACTTAAATCTGTGTGAATCTAAGGGAAGCCTTGGGCATTTGGAGTATTCCTCCAAATAAACCTCATTTCTCTGATTTCTTACTGAAATTACCTTGTGAACAATGAGCTCGTGAGTGCCATCTGGCAGCGTCCTTCCATTTTCCTGCATCAGAGGGACGAAAGAAAAACCAAACAACTTCTTCTCCCCCTTTTCTTTTGCTGAAACACACATATACATTAAAAATCCACCACATTCCAAGTTGGAGATGATAAATGCACAGATTTAGTGAATATAAGGTTACACATACTCTATGACACTCACTCTCAGTTAATAACCAGGATATCATACCTACAAGGATGCTGGCAAAATAACTTCTTATTGGTGAACAATTCCTAACTTGACTCAAAATCTCCAAAAACACTTATAGGACACAGTTCTGTTTATAACAGTCAAACCTAAGGATTGATCTAATGAGGATGTTCAATGTATTGTCGAAGACTGTCTTTTGGTGGAATGACCTTGATCAGAAGAACTGGAGGAAGGGTGAATCTGCCCTCCCACAGCAACCTGGCAACCCTTCCCCATATTCTTTTGTAGCAGACTTTCACTTGCATAGCATTGGGTGTAGCCTACCACTCATAGATAACTATGAACAACACCAATATATGCTTATAGTCTTCTTGATTTCAATAAAATCTGAAATCTACCAGAGACCACTAGAGGCACAATACAGGAATATAGAGACTCACAATGTGATGACCAGATTGCTGTGAGTTTTCCAGGCTGTATGGCCTTGTTTCATGTCCCGGAAATTCATAGCAACCCAGTGATTCCGGCCATAAAAGCCTTCAACAACACAATGTGATGACCCCTCCTTGGGGGGGGGGAAACCATACAACTCTAGTTCTAAGTGGCCAAGATAGGAATGTCTCCTCTTGGCAGATGTTTCTGTTCTGTATATGTTTTCCTAATACACATGTTCACATTACCGTAATAAATAAAGTTAATAATAAATTCCTAGATCTATCCATATTGAAGAATCATGTCAGCTATTTAGGAAAAACATACAACTTGATTCTAAGCAAATATACCGTGGATAAAAATAATGTACTTTCAAGAACACTTGAGTAAGAGTATGTAATAAGAACAAGACTTTTAAAATTGGTATCTCTATCATTCTTATACAAAAATCTGATAAACACCAAATCTTTTAATTCTAACCAAATCAGAAACTACATCACATTTGAATCTTGAAATCATGAAATGATAATAGCTCATTCATCCAGTGTTTTTTGCATAAAACCTTGCCAGGCATGTGTCATATGGATTAAAAGGAGAATCAAGTCACATTGACAACCTATTTTCCCCACAGACTACCTGTGAAAGGAAGGCATGGATTTCTAAAAGCTCATAATCTGTGAATTGTAAGTGTTTTCCATCAGCCCAGGATTGAAGCAAAATAAGAAGAAATTTTTGCCAATATCTCCCCCCCCCCCACACACACACACCCCTTTTCTATAATTTGTCCTTATCACAATGAATAAACATGACAATTCTATTAAAGCCTAGCAATTCATGAAGTTCCAGATAGTTTGGATTTCATTTCTCAGAGGTCAACGTTGTAATTGGTCAGTGACAGTGAGAGCTATGAATCACAACTTTTGGAGGTCCAATGTCGCACTCTGTTTGATAGCTGTGCCATTTGCATCCTGTCCTCATGAAAGTTAAGAAAATGTAAATCAAATACAATCAAAAGAAAAAGTGGCACAAAGACTGAAGAAACTTCACAGCTACTTCCATGGAATATTGTTAAGGCAGTTGATTGCTGGTGTTTGCAAAGTGGCAGCTAAATGAGCTCCTACCCAATCCCAACCCCCACAGACTGTGAATATAACGGCAGAAGCTCCATTATAACACAGCAGGTATGAAAAGCATTTGATAAGTCCCCTCAAAGAACTACAATTTATGAATAGGCCTTACTGGAACAGTGTCGGAATTCAAAGCGAAGGTGTGCTCCCCTGAATTTATCCACAGGAATGGGAAGTTTCAGCAGCTCAGCCCACCTAGGACTGTTGTTGTGATACAACACAAAGGAGTGGAATTCAGTGGCGGGTGGTTCTCCAGAGCCAAAAGAAATAAAATCCTAATAAAGAAAACAAATAAGTGAAAGGCATTGATTCACTGGTAAAACAGATGGGAAATCTCTTTGAAAACAAGACACAATTGGCTTCTGTAAACCAAAGGAAAACCATCCTCCATAGTTCCTATAATAGGAGAGGGATAGGGAAGCTGAGCACCTCCACTTTCATGATTAAGCAAAAATGGACCAGTAACATTACTAGGTAATTAAGGTCCCTTTGGATTTAGCAATTAAAAGTATATTAAATGATCAAGCACTAAGAAATATTAAGACAGCTCTTGTCATTGAGCCATCCCAGGAATAGCAAATGCTGCCTGCAAACTACCCTAAGAGTAGCTACCTGGGTTTAAGCTACACTAAATACATGAAGGGAACTTATAAAATGTTTGAAACTGTACTGTCTGAAACACCATGGGAAGTAGGCCAAAGGGCGAACAGGTTATTAGCAGCAGCAACAACAAACGAGATTACCCTTCCAGCCCTAACTTTCATCAGATTTTGCACTTTTCCTTTATCCCTGCCTTGAAACTATTGCACAAACTCTTAGCCCTCCAAGCTCAGTATTTGTTATTATTCAGGCTAGGGATTGTTTTTATGATGTTGTATTGTGTTATTGTTATGATGTTGTTTATTTTTTGATTATTTGATTTTAATTTTTGATTTTATTTTATTATGTTGTGTTTTAATTTGTGTTTTTCTGGGCTTGTCCCTATGTAAGCCGCCCCGAGTCCCTTATAACTACAGAATGGAATCACTTGGAATAAAGTATTGGGAAGTTGAAGAAGAAAATCTGGAAAAACATTACCTTTAAAATTTGACCACCACAGTCTACAATGTACATTGTTACTTCCACATTCCGGGCCACACTTTTTCCTCCTTTTTCAAACTCTCCTCTTTCTATCGTGATATATAAATCATTTCTCATTTCACCTATGGGAGATGAGGAAAAGAGCTGAAAGTTGGCTGATGTAAACACAACATACTCTCAATCATTCTCATATATACACACACACACACACACACACACACATATAAACATACACACACACAAACACGTATACACACATATGTGTGTGTGAGAGAGTGTATAAAACAGAAACAACAAAAACTGGGCAAATGCTTCTGATATGCCCTGGATTTCACTATTTTTAAACCATGCAATTAAGTAGAGCTGGCTGAAAAAAAATGAAGAATGATCACAGTACAATTAAATGTATAGATTATGACAGTCACATTATTATAACACAAGCTCTATCAGGTAATATGTGAGAATCAATTCCAAGTATTTCATATGTCAGTTTTTTCCTAGTAACACAACATTACGGTTCTTTTATTCCAGTCATTACAACAAAAGAAAAAAATTCAGGGAATCAGAAAGCTGTGGACTCTCCCTGGCAAGGTGTTTTTGGGCTATATAAATATGAAGTTGATTATACAGATTAGCTATGTTATGGTACTGTGTTTCTTACATGTGTTTGGTAGCATATTTCTTACATGGCTGCCATGGAGAAATAATTGCTGTATATACTAGAGTATAAGCCAATCAGAATATAAGTCATGGCTCCTAATTTTACCACAAAAAAATTGGGAAAAGGTATTGACTCGAGGTGGAAAATGCAGCAGCTACTGGTAAATTTCAAAATAAAAATAGATACCAATAAAATTACATTAATTGAGGTATCAGTAGATGTTTTTAAGTATTTACATAAAACTGTAATTTAAGACAAGATTGCCCAACTCTGATTAAGCCATTATTCTAACCTTCTTCTATGTAAATGTGCTTAAATATCCTTGCAATAATAATGAGTAAAATAATAAATGTAATAATAATAAAGCAAACTAATAAATGTAATAACAATAATAATAAATAGAAAAAATAATAAATCCAATAATAACAATAAACAGAGTAATCAATGTAATAATAACAATAATAAATAGAGTAAAACGTAAATATAATAAAAATATTGTAAAATAATAAATGTAATAACAACAACAACAACAACAACAACAGAGTATAAATAATAAATAACTTTGACTCGAGTATAAGCCGAGGGGGGCTTTTTCAGCCTAAAAAAGGGCTGAAAAACTTGGCTTATACTCAAGTATATACAGTATTTCATGCCATCACCAATCATTGGGGTGGGGGAGAGAAGCAGGCTTGTACTGTTGAGATTACTGCTGTAAGTATATTGAATTGAGACTGTGCTACCTTAGCATGAGTCCTGCAAAATCCAAGGATTTGTAGTTTGGTGAGCAGCTGCAGTTCTATAACAAAGAATTTTAAATGCTGCTTCTAAATTAGCAAATCTTAGGATGCCATATGATGGAACATTGACATTAAAGTGAAATCATCATGCTATAACAGTGTGGTATGAAAACGTTATTGGCATAGTTTGAGAATAGTTAATTGACTGAAATTTGTTCAAACAAGAGTGAAAATTAATACATACAAATTGAATTAAAGTGTGCATGCTTCATAATCATAACTCCAAGTCTATATAACCTAAGTGCTTGTAATCTGGCATGCATACAAAGTTGACCAAGGAATGTGAATATGGAGTTAATTTGTTTTGAAAAATGTATGGGTTAATATTTAGTAATCCCATCATCAGAGACTAGATAGCAGACTTTCTTAACTAAATAACTTTGCAATCAATACATATAAAATCAGAAAAGAATCAAATCATAGAATAAAAGAGTTGGAAGAGACACATGGGCCATCTAGTCCAACCCACTGCCATGCAGGAAAAGCAGAATAAAAGTACCCCTGACAGATGACCATCCAGTAGTTCATGAGTCTAGGTTAAATGATTCTTTCTGCTGAGGGACAGGCACACGTGATAAACACAGATTTGCCAGTCCCCTATGCATAAAGCTATTGTAGCAAGCTATGGCAAGAGGCATGCTTAGAAGCTCCAGAGGGCATAGCCTCATATGTACATATATGATGGGCACCATAGCTTCCCTAAAGACTTCAAGGGATAAAATTAATCTATATTCCAACTTTTTTCCATTAGTGAAAAGCTGAGTATTTTTGCTTAAGATGTCATAAATGGCATTATGGACATAAACAAAAAATCATGCATGGAGAAATTTGCTTTTTATACCTTTGAGAAATATTCTGAAACCAAATGCAAACATTACACACTAGTTGCTAATTTTAAAGTATTAAAGTATGTTAATTAATAGGTTCTTGTGGGTTTTTTCGGGCTATAGAGCCATGTTCTAGAGGCATTTCTCCTGACGTTTCGCCTGCATCTATGGCAAGCATCCTCAGAGGTATGTTAATTAATGTTATAGATAACATGAAAATGACTGTGAATGTTACATTTAATGACAAAAAGCAAGCAAGGTTAGTTCAACCTAGCAATTAATTCCTAATTCATCCTTCCGGTAAATCTGTCAGACCTATTCTAGATTCTAAACATAGAGGATTCATTCAACTGTAGATGCAAAAGGGTAACATATTTCAATCTGGCGTCCAAGTAATTAAAGTAAAATGATTTGCTAATCTCTAATGTAGAAAGATAAAGGAAAAGGTTCTGTTGGGAGGCAGAATGACAGCCGACACAAAAGACTCATTAATTGAAACCACTGGAAACAAAGGAACAGATTGGACCACAGGACAACACATACTTCGGGGGCCTTTGTCAGTCTGCATCCACACCAGCTTGCATGGCAAGGTTTAGAAAAAAAATAGCTGGAGATGCTCCTATGAACATCCAACCAATGAGAAGAGGTTGATTTCAGTCATTACAGTCATGTCATGTCCAGGCTATAGAAAGAATCAGGATTGTACCTCAAATACAGAGCTAAAGAGTAACTTGCAAACCTGTTCTGTTTTAATCAGAAGACCTCTGATATATTCTGTAGTCACAATGGAACTTTCTACCTATCTCCACTTCAACACCTGAAAACTTACTCTGTGTCTGTATGAATGAGACAGAGGTTGCCAGACATAGGGATTAAGTTGCTGGGGTGCAGAGAAGGTTACAGCATACCCTTCCTGCTGTTCCATCAGCAGAAATCCAGAACTGGTCCCTCTCATGTACAATCTTGAATCTTGAAATTCTCCTCTTGGTAAGATTAGCTAGTAAAAATTCTGTATGATCCAGAGTATTGCTTCAAGTGTGAGGATGGCATTCCTGTGACCAATTATGTTTCCCAGCACATGGACACAGATACAATCAAGACACATAATGGTCTACATGCTGTCTGTATACTTCTTTTCTAGCTGAGAGTCTCTTGTGGTTGCAAATTAAACAGACTTCAAAGGGGGAGACAGGAACTCAGATAATGTAACACATTTTGTCAGCTACCCAATTATTCCTTTTTTTAAAAAAAACGGATACCGTGAATGAGTTTCTTATTAGAAAAGAAATCAACAAACCTTGAAAAATGGGTGCGTCATATACAATATAAGACTAACTAAATACTCTAATTATAAAGAAATCTTCTTAAGCGAAGGATTTTTGAGAGCGGTGTTTTAAAAATTACCAGTTCATGAGAATGCACATATTTTCACAAAAGCAATATCTACCCTTTATCTTAGAATCAATGGTCTTTGGAATTTCCTTTAAAAAAATAAATACATAGAAGATGGAAATGTAAGTAATTATTCAGTTCAGTTCCATATTTCCGCTGAAACTCTAATGCCAGTTATAGAGTTGGATGATCACAGAGTTGGTCCTTATTATGTCCAACACTCTGCCCAATGCAGGATCTCCATCTAAAGTATCCCCACCAGGTAGCTGTCAAGTCTCTTTTTAAAAACATCTAAAGATGGAGAAGCCTCTCTTACTTTCTAAGCCAGAGGTTCTCAAACTTTTTGAGTAGAGGGCCAGTTCATGGTCCCTTAGACTGATAGGAGGACAGACTACAGTTTTAGGAAAAATGAACAAATTCCTAAGCAAACTGCACATATCTCATTTGTAGTGCAAATACAAATTTATTTATTTACAGTATTTATATTCCGCCCTTCACACTCCGCAGGGGACTCAGGGCGGATTACAATGTACATATACATGGCAAACATTCAGTGCCATAGACACACAACATATATAGACAGACTCTCAGAGGCTATTTAACATTCCAGCTTCTGGCCACCAAGGGAGCTGTCGCTTCACCGTCCATTTGTGACGCTGATGAAGTATTTTCCTCATTCTTTGCATACTTCCTGGAGATTTTTTTATGGCTTCGTAAATCAGTTAAATTAGCTTCCCCACGTAAGTGGTACCTAACTTTCCTACTTGACAGATGAAGCTGTCTTTCGGGTTGCAAAGGTTGACAACAAGCTACACAATTTTGGTCGGGAGCTCACTCCGGCCCAGGCTGCCTTCGAACTCATGACCTTCCAGTTGGTGGTGATCTTAATGCAGCTGACTCCCAGCCAGCTGCGCCACAGTCCCGGTACAATATTTAAAATGAAGATCAACTTTAACCAACATATACTTACCAGTATTTCAATGGGAAGCGTGGGCCTGCTTTTGACTGATGAGACAATTAAGTTGCCCAAGTCATTCCAGACCTAGGGCAACTCTAAGTCTAAAGTTTAGAGCAGAGGCTGGGGAAATGACCTTGGAGGGTTGCATTTGCCCCACAGACCTATTACTTATCACAACAAATAAATCAAGGCCACAGGAGGGAAAAAAGAATGGAAGGGGTGGGTAAAATAAAAAACAAAAATGTATGTATTGAATCTACTAGCCACAATTGATCAGACGCTACTTTCATTTAGGAGATATTTAACTTTCTGACACACCTTTTTTTAAAGAAAAGAAAGACAATAACAACCAGGAACTAAAAGAGGTAAGATCTGCTCCCTCGCTCCTGACCTTTAAAAAAAAAATAAAATCATAGTTCTGGGACCAGGCCTTCGGATAATAGATGTATGCAGCTTTTAGTGGGACAAGGATTGGAACAGCGACTCG